CAAAAAACATGCAAATGCCTCTGTGCACATGAGTGCATCCCTTTTCACCTCAAAAGTCTCTCTTTTGAAGCCTATATGCTGCCCACAGATTCTCTGACATCTCAAACTTGCTAAATAGGGTAGCTGACCTTCCTAAAATGGTAATTTTGCTTAACCTGCTCAGTCTGGGCTCACGAAATGCAGATAAAATCAGGGAATATTATGTGTAATCAGACTCATCTGTATTGCCTTGTATATGAAGGCAATTCATCTTGTATGGAGGCCCCGACAATATATCACTAGTATGACTTGCCCAGTTGTTTGAAATTCAGGAAACAGAGAAACACATGCATGAATGTGTGGCATTCGACTGGGATACACTGACTGAAATCTAATTAACTCTTATAGAGGTTATAGAGATGATAAACTCATTTGATAGCCCATCATTTCAAGGGTTAATCATACATTAGAGGAATGAAGAACAAAGGACAACATGTAGAGAATCACAAGTGACTGTGCAGATATGAATGGCTTGTTGTCTCTGAAACACACTGCCTATGACCTGTATAGATATGTGCATAGTTTACAATGCATGGATGTGTCTGGAAGTTGCACAGCACAGCTATTGGTGGGGAAAAATGGTAATAACATGCGTGTTTTGATGTCTCAGCACTGAATAACCATATATGGCAATATTCTCTACTTGTGCATATGCTCAGGGATGCTCCACATATATCCTGGAATATTGTCTGATTAATCCGCATTTTCTTGACCCCAGACCAAGTGAATTGTGCTGCAGTAACAGTGTGCACTTACATCGCTTACTAAGCGCTCGACTAAGCGCCCGTTGCCGAAGCGGAGTCGTCGACAGGCCGGAATTCCGGCCTGTCGACGACTCCGGTCACTCAAAGGGGATTTTGGAGCACTCCCATTGGCTAAAATGCTGACAAATGTTCCCTTTTAAAGTAATCTTTCAATCTCAGCTCTTCATGCCGAGTTTTTTGATGGCTTCAAGCCACACTAACTGAGCTCTTACCCATTAAATGCGGAAAAATCCCAAAATATTGCTTCTCCATGGAATGCCCCTTGAGTACTGACAGGGGTGCCCAGATTAGGTGTTCTTGTTGTTTTTCACAGAGTACTGACCTTGGCAAGTGATACTGGGGATATAAGCAAATGTTGGTGTGTGTATGATGCTTGTACAAGACAGTTCCACATGTATGGGCTCTGTGAGGTGGAGGATATCAAACATACAAAACTGCCATATATGGTTAGTCCCCTGCCCATTTGGGAAGTTGGCCGTGCATGGCCTCTGCAGGACTGGATAAATAGCAGGAAAATAGAGAAAAATTAGATAGTACTATGGATTTGTATTGGGTTGACTGTTGAGGCCATATGGCAGAAAACATATAATAATGCAGAGTTTCCCATGCATAGCCTGATACAAGCCACTCTTTCAATGAGTCTTGGTCCATCTTGTAAGCACCATTATCACCTGGAATTCTCAGGGACTGGCAGCTCCAGACAGGATCCCAGGCTATTCTGTTCAGTTCAACTCTTCAATAGGCCCTGCAAAGGCAGACTATTGGGCTGAGTTTGAAGCAAGCCACAAGCTCATTAGTGACACTGTATTTGCTGTGCTATGGTCTCCCAAAAAACAGTTGGGAATATTCCCAGTCATGTATATATGTCAGAGAGGATGTACATAGTATGCCTTCCCATGGATTCATATAAACATGGCACCCACCATTCACAAAGCAAAATAAAATACATGTCCTCTGTACACACTGGTTCTTTCACTTTGTTTGTGTTTCCTGTGATGCTTGCCAACTGCCTATGGATTGTGTGGCTATATGAGACTGAATGAAACCTGCCATATGTGGTACCTGACCTTCTCAAAATGGAAAGTCCGAGTTATCTGCTGTGTCTGGGCTCAGAAAATGTGGATAAAACAAGGGAATATTCTGTATGATTCCACTCACCTTGTACTGCTTGCTAGCTATAAGTAGTGATTGGCTCATGTCTAAACCCTTGGCAGGCAATGGCATATGCAGAAAATGGTGAACACCTGTGGCACAAAGGCCATAGTTAATGCTGAGTATGTTCATAATATTGGCTCTGTCTCACATGTGAATGGCATAGCTATCAATATTATGGGTTCACAGAGCTTTATGACACTGTACTGATCCTAGAAAGTGATAGAAGACATTGTACAAGTTGTGTTGTGCATCTACTACTGTTGCTAGAAAGTCTATAGGCTAGCAATGTCATAAAGTAGGGACACCACACATAGGTGATCAAATGCTTTGATGGTCTCTGCAATGCTAGATAAATGGTAGGAAATGAGATAAAATCAGCTGACTGTTGTAGGCCAATGCATGACAGTACATCTCAGATGTGCTAATGCAGAGTTCACAGCCTGATGTCTGCAGCTCTATTGTCACAGTCCAGTATAAGCATGTCTTTGACTGATTGTATCAATATGAAGCAGTGCCAATTATACAGTATGATGGTGCTATGCTTGGTTGTTAATTGCTCATATAATTTTTGCCTGGAGCATATCTAATGTCTGTATGCACTACCATCATCCTATTCTCATGCAATGGCCCTTGGTATGTGAAGATAGAATAGGCAGCTCTTGGTTTGTTCATATGGGAAAAATGTATTGACAGTGGTGTCTGTTAGTGCAATGTCTACTATCACTCATATTGCAGTGTATGCTGTGATTTCTTCCTGATTGGGCTCAGAAGAAGTCATGGTTGCCATGGAAATAATGCAGACTTGCATTGCTTACTAAGCAACAGTGAAGAGGCCATATTACAATGGACTTCTGAGCCAATATATGGCTGTCCTTTTATGGATCTCTAGTCAACAATATGACTTTGGGAGTACTCTGATTTCTGCAGCTGTTTCCTTTTACATGTGATGATGAAATATCAGCTACTCATGTTGGGTCCTTTCATGTTATATGGAAAGTGGAAATATAACACTTTAGACCCAGGTGTGAACATGCGTGATATTTGAACAGCATTGGAAATTGTGGCAGTGTGCCTACCAGTACACCATTTGGCAGTTGATCCTGGGTGGTATCTGCCATGCCAAGGAATGTCAACATGAAAAATATAGTGTCTAATCCAAATATAGTACCATACATTGTATGTGCACACAAATAATGAACAGTCAGCCAGAAAATGACACTGGTGATTATCAGTATGTCTGAAGACATAGAAATCCTTGGACTTATGATCAGAGAGCATGACCATTGATAGTAGGCATTACTAGAATACCCAGGAAAGGCCCATGTGCAAGTCTTAGTATGCAGTCTGTTGTTAGGGACAAGGCATTGAAACCCCTTTTTCTACAAGAAATTCCATAGATATGGTCTTTGAATAGGGTAGGCAGCAGGAATTGTTATCACTCCTGGGCTTTGTTATCTTTATTCTAGATCCTTTGAATGGACTTCATTTGGGGTTCACAATGCTTTCTGACCAGATTTCAGTGATCTTTTTTCCCACATTGTTATTCTTTGTGGCACCTATTGGTGTATGTTCTGACTGGACTATTACCAAGTTTCTAGTGCTCTCCTTAGACCCCTTGTGACCAGATGCTTTGAAAGATATTACTGGGGTTCTATTAGCTCAGACTATGTTATCTATTGATATATTATCCCAGCTGGCAGGCAATCTATGAGTGACTAGTGTTCATAAGGCTGTGCTAGTCTTCTACTATTTTGTAGGATTCTATGAAGTATTTTATGTAGCTAACAGGCTGTGCATAAATGCACAAAAGGAGCATCCCTATGAGCAAGTCCAAACATTTATCTCATCTACCACTTGCTTCTGTACTCTTATGCCAGTGTACCTTCAATTCATCAGTGATCAATCCTGCCCATGACTCTATCAGTCTTGATGGCACTTACTATGGTGATACATTGCTTCACAATGTACTACATGAGCCCATTACTATTGACTCAGGAGCTGAGCTCCAATCCAGTAACATACCTTAGTATGGCTTTGTACTACTGGTCAGTGTCTGGTAACTGTTCACTTATGGTGAGAGCAAACTGCACAGTCTTTGGTTGTATTCCTTGTATAACACATCAATTCTTGACAGGCCTTTTTCAGAATTCCTTACTGGTATACTTCTCCTCTGTATATTGGTTCCATCCTCCACTGTTGATTGGTTTGGACTTGGGGAAGTACTGTTAACAATCTACTGAAAGACATCCTTTGGTATCAGAATTTCTCTGATCAAGGGCTAATACTTGTACAACAGCACTGACAGCAAGTCCCAACTGAGTAGTGGTTACTGTAGTCAACCCCCCAGATTCCCCTTCCTTGAGTTCTAGTTGATCTAGAGGCTCTCCTTACTTCTTTGCAACATTCCCAAGCTATTTGCTCTATGTTACTATCAATACAAACCAGTAACACTGCTCATTAGTATTCAGATCATATTGATAAGCAACTTGGCAATTTACCAAGTAAGAAACAGATCCATAATGTCTGTTGCTCATGATTGCAAGCTATGATCCTCATATGACAACAACCTAATAAATTAGCAGGCTACTCTGAAGTGCAAAATGTGGAAGATATGTCAGTACTCTATGCATAGACAATATACTAGCAGTCTTGCCAAGCATGACTTCTGACGCGGGCAGCATGAAGTTGTTCATAAATTGACATATCTCCTACCAAAGGGATCGTACTGCCAGCTATGGCCCTCTCCCCAGCAAGTTCAAGGAGAGATTTGGATGGGGTGTTCCACTAGTGGTATACGTAGACACAGTATGGAATACCCCCACAATGGAGTGCTTGCTAGGCTCATTGAATGTGCGGGGGCACAACTGGTCAACAGTGTGGAGGTCAAATGCTTCTGTAGCATTTGAGTCAAAGTACTGCGTGGCATCCCACACGGGTACTACAGAAATAAAGGTGGTCAACCATCATTAACATGGAAAGAAATATCATACTTACTCTCTTGACGTGGATTAAGGGCTACACGCTCACCCAGGTTATCATTGATTATTTGTGGACGGTTATGGGTGACTGCAGACTGGGCTTTACGAGGTGTGCGCAAGGGGTTGTAGACGTGGAGGCTGCATGCTTGGCAGGACTGTTGATGTACTTGTCCAGGTTGACCTTGCCACGACCAGCAGTAAATGCATCTATGCATCATATGAGCAGCAATCATATTTTGACTTATCAAATACATACCACGTTTGTCCACCTGCTCCATAGTGGTGCCAAAGTTGACGTAGTTACTGCCAACAGCCGGTGAGGACAGTTCAGGCTGCCCCAGTGCCTCGCACCAGAATGCCCAAGCCAGGTCAAACTCCACATCAAGGGGTATGATAGCAATGGACTTGCTCGTCCGCATGCCAGCACCCGTCTTGAATTCACCTGCAGTGATCAAATGACTGTGCTCAACCACTCCAAACGTGACATTGATGACAGCCTGATCTCCAAAGGTGATCACTGGCCGGTAGTACCCTGTCCCCGTGGCTCCAAAGTTGTCTGGACATGCACGGGCAGGGTTCACCAGCCACATCATCCTGAATGGGAAGGTGAGGGTCTTTTTGAGGGCACTGTGACTCATCAGTAAGTATGCTCAGTTCAAGTATAAGAACATCCACTAGTTACTCACGCAGTCTGGAACTGAATGCCCTGCTCCGTAAATGATGCCACAAGATCATCCGCACTGATGCTTGGATGGTTGGGGACATCATATTTCCTGGTCATTTTGGATCAGTTCAACATATGACTAGATCAGCAATATACTCACTTCAGGGGCCACATGTTCTTGTATGTGTCCTTGAGCCAGGCACCAATCTTACTCCTGTCCAGTTGCAGACAGTGCCTACATCATCAGGAAATTCACATTAGCACAAGTCTATGTAGTGTAGAAATAGATACAAACTTGTTGCCCTGCGGTGGGTGACGCTTGTACTCAGGACTGGCATAGCTTGAAGTGGACCATCAGTTTAGCCATCAGAGATATAAAAATATACTTACACAGCACCTGCAATGGGTGAAACATCATCTTTGTTACTGTGTACTTATTAGCAAGTATCTTGAAGTAATATAGGAATGGAACCTACCCAACATCCTTGCCCTTCTTCTTCTTCAATGAGCTCTTCACCTCAGATACTTCCACAACTGGTTCCAATCTATAGAAAGCTTATCAATGAACATCTTGAAAAGAATGTATATTTTACCTTTGCTTTCCGATGTACACCTCACTGCTATGGTTCAAAGTGTCTCAGTACTATGGTACAGATTCATAAGAACTACAGAACATACCTGCTTGAATTCCTCTCCAGGAACACATTTTCCTCAGCATCAGAGATAATGGCATCTTGCTTTGCCTTGGCCTTGGCCTTGGCCTTGGCACTAAGTACAGAGTCAGTAATATGCATGAGTAGCAATATATATGTATGCAGACATTGTTCCCCGTGACTTCTTTGTTGGGGAGGCACTAATTATGGGATGATCTAATCAGCACATCCTATGACCAGACAAATAATTCACATACGTCAGACTGTCATCATCGCCTGGGCTTGGATGCTCATCACTGAATCCACAGTTAGTAAATATGACACTGCACAACATTCCTAGTTCTTTACCGCTTCTTGCGTGACCCACCCTTGCTGCATATTCCTTTGTCAGTACAACATATCCACTACAGTACTTGAAAGAGTCAACAAACTTAGGTGATGGAGTGGCTGGGGTCTCAGGTGGCCCAGAGGGGTTGCGTCTGTAGTATAATCAATTGATGAAATGTAGATTGTGTGACATTACAGACCGCTTGACAGGGCTCTCTGGAGTTAAGCCAATCAAGTCATTGTCCCAGTCAGGGCTTGACAACAATGTCAGTCACCACAATCAATATTCTTTAACAACACAAGGTACCTGGACTGAGACAATTCCCTGTTTCATGGTAAGCACTGTTATATCAAGGTATTGATATCAATTACTTACAACACAGATGGCTTCCTCGTGAGCTTTCCACGGGGCTTCTTGGCAGACTTGGGGACTCTGGTGATGAATTAGTACCTTGAATAATTGATGAAGCATGCATGAAACTCACTCAACAACCACTACCTCATCCTCCGTCTCATCATCTATGTCCTCAACAGCCTGGACACTCTCCTCCTCACTGTAATTGGTGACATCACCCTCCTCAGCACTCTCCTGATCATCACTACCAGCAGCCTCATCATCAACCAGAGACACAGCCTTCTTTGCAGCCTGAGCTCTATAACATATAATGAATTTTCTTATCTTCAAAGTATCCACATAATACATACTTCTTGTGAGAGCCCACAAGCTTGGATTGTCTAGTGGTATCCAATATTAGATCAACATCATACTGCATGCAGCATTGGCATACATGGGCTCATCAGACTCTGTACCACTTGTCTGCTCATCATCAGATGTAGCAGCCCCAGGGGGCAGAGAACACTTAGCAGTAGTACTAGAAGTATATTAGATTAAACAAGTAACAGTATATAAACTTGACTCACTGCTCGGCAGCCACAGGCTGCTTCTTAGTCGCCATAGTAGAAGACTTAGTCTTCACTGTAGGCCCAGAAGCCTTGGTGGCTTTTGTAGCCTTGGACCTTGGACCGCTGGAACCAAAACTAATCAAACAACACTAACACACCTGACAGTACAGGTACTTACTATGTAGACATTGTAATGCAAGTGTGTGAGGTGTTTCAGAGAGTAAATGGGATGCACGGGGGATCAGGGCATGAATTGGCCTGCCTATATATGCAGCTGCATCCACCTTATCATATAATCAATCCAACTTTGATCTATCAATCAGATGCTTGGCATCACCACATTGTGTGAAAATCAGATATATTCTCCAGCAGCTTCTCTTTGCCAATGTTCTCATCATGATGATTGTGTTATGTATCCATATTTGCATCATATGTATCCATCCTTTAGCACAAGCACCCCCAATGGGCACATAAACAGAGCAAGTGATGCTGGAAATGTGCGAGGACTGAATGTCCAGTTTATCACGGGCTTTTCCAATCAAAGAAGCATGATATGTTTCAGTACCTCGTGTTGATATGGAAGCATTCCCCTGGAACAGTGCAATCATGACCAAACTATGGCGTGATTTAAAGCACATGATGTTAGCTTACAAACTCTGTTCCCAGAATCTCATCCGACTGTTGCTGTGGACATCGACAATGGCTCTCGTCAAGCTCTACGGTGCAAGTGATAAGTACAGTGAGTACATACCATCAAGCACAAGTGACTCATCAATATGGACATTTGTGTCATCAGGACAAAGCCTCCATGATGAACTGATGCGGGCAATGAATGGAAAGAAATCATCCCTACAGATGGCCTCAATGGTGAAGGTAGGACAATAGACAGACGATTGCACAGCTGTAACTTATGTACAGTACAGGCAGATCATGTCCATGCATCAACTACACTGCTTGACAACAGTGTTGCTCTAAGGAGAAGCTGCTGATTTACTCAGAGAAAGAAGACAGCACACATGAAGAGGTTGTTCTCAACATACAGGGGTATATGTTGAAGGCAAAACTTCCACCTATAATGCGTGACAATGAGTGTGTATCATAAAACATGTTGTTATAACAATCTACCTCACAATCAATCTCTAGGGTTGCTCAAACCAAGCTCATTCACACTGAGCAGTATGTCCGCATAGGAGGGCTTGGCAGTGGACCATTTGATCAGTCTGCAGTTGCCATGATGAACATACATCAACTCTTTGAAAGCAGACTGGGCAAGGGATATCTGCAAGGCTGGGATGTCAAACGTGAACAAGGCCACATTGTTCTGGACTTCCACAACAGATACCTCACTCCACGCAGCAGTGCCTCCTCTGCCAGCATCATGGATCTTCCTCATGACTATGACCCTCGCAATATATTGCGTTCCCGCATGACGGATGAGGTCTTCACCTCTGACAATGTTGTCCAATACTATGAACGTGTACAAGATGTCGACCATCAGGCGTGAGTGTAGTAATATATACATCTGTGCAACAAACTCACATATACCCATAGCAAATACCACTTCAAGAAGTTGCATCCTACGTCTGTCAGTGTTGGGCAGATGGTTGAAGTGCAATCATCCTTTGTGGCTGTACCCCGGGGCAAGGACAAGTACAAACTGATATGCAAGCTTCGTTCAATCTGTGTACTTGACCGCAGCATTGAGAACGTGAGTCATGCACATTGCTGTATTGAAGGGCACGTACCAACAATGACGGACAGGAACTGAATCAAGAACGTATTCAACTGGCATTGCAGAAAACTTCTCCAACCCGGAAGGTCAAGCGAGTTGTTGGGTATGAAGATGATGACAGCGATGTTGAGGAGACCTGGGATGAAGTGAAGCGCATGCGGATTGATGAGGAAAATGGTCCTTAAGGCACACCATAGTTGTCAATCCATCATCACAGGTTGTTACATATAGTTGGCGAGATCACATTACATCATTTGTGGAGTTGAATCCACCGAACAACAGAGGAGTTGAGTCCTAGCACCCTAGCACCTACAGCTTGTAGTACACATCTTCCTCATCCTCGTCCTCATCATCAGCCACCTCTTTGCCATTATGCAATGTCCGATACCACTTCCCATGCTCCTTATCCAGCTTCTTTGGGTCATATGAGACCTCCCAGAGGCACCGATAGGTGCACGTATTGTTGATGCACTGGTAGCCTGCGATATGTGTCTTGTTATGGTTACGACCCGTCCTGCTCTCCAAACAGCACAGAGCTTTGCAGATAGGGCACTGGTAGGGGAGTGGATGGCCTGCTGGCGCAAGCTTGGGGTGGTGCCAGACGTACTTCTCCACATCCACCCGTTTATCACCCATCAAGCCTTCATAGCGGAACACAACAACACTGCTGTGACGACGAAGGGTGAAGGACATGCCTAGCATCTTGCACATCGTGGATTGCTTTGGGACAGCTAGCTCAACGATGACGCGGGTTGCAAAGTGACCCACAAAATCGGAACAGAGGTGGGCATTCAGGGTGGCTGTCGTGAACCCCAACGTGAAGGGGACCTTGTACAGGAACAGCTGTTCCCTGAGCGCCTCGAGGGACTCCTTCTTGTTGACGATGGCACCACAGGCAAGGATGAACATGTAGTGGAGGCGTATAACATGGCAGAGCTTCTTGAAGTGCTCCGTGAGGACGATGGTGAACCACTACACAATGATTAGATAAGTATGTGTTCAGACAACACATGACATACATCCTCTATTGATGACGCTGCGTTACTCGCATGATACAGATCTCCAACTTGCACATTGCTGTGTGTATAGATGAACGTCACAACACGGACATTTGGTATGCTGTCGACAACAATGTCATAATGTGGTCCTGAGTAGATAGAACTACATACGTCATGATACCTGCACACAACTTCTCCATCTTTCTGCTGTGAATTGCTGCATCTCTGTCCGTCTCAAAGTTGAATGGGATGTCGAAGTACTGAAGGTTCCCCTTCGTGTTCCAGAAGTAGCTGTTGAGGTTCATATGGAACAGATCGGGGATACTGGCTTCCTTGGTGAGTGATTTCAGACGGAACGATAAGATCACCACTGGAGCAGTGGAGCAGAATGCGTGCTGAGGAGCCACCATGGTTCCCGTCACACGGGATGGCTCGGAGTGTACATTCCGAGACCCGTTATGGCTGTGAAAGGCCTACACAATGCTTAGACACGTGAATGGGACACATCAAATGTTACATACATGGTATTTGTCGGAGTTGCCAAGGGTCATCACATGACAAGATGGACACAGGAAATGCCAGTCTTCCTGCACGGTGGTGATGTCAATGTTTCCAAGACAGTCTGTACAGACGTCGCGGTGACAAATGTCACAGTTGATGAGGCCACCGCCATTGTGGCAAATGACGCAGTACTAGTGTCACAAGATAATCAGTCTGTGCGTGCCCACTGAAGCAACAGACACATCACCATCGATTCAAAATCATCCGGCTCATCATCAAATGACATGTCATCATTGTCGGACTGGTCTGTCACCTCATCTGGCTGCTCTTCTTCAATGAGGTCGTCTTGTGCCAAGGCATGAATTCCCGCCACGGAGAGGTTGTTGTGGTACTCCATGTGGGACAACCCCACGCTGCGCTTTGCATTTTGCTTTGTACGGGCCATTGCTATGATAGTACTAAATCATAATCAGCATAGTACAAGGGACACAAAAATGCCATTATACCCACAAGACAACGTAGGGCTTAGGCAGTTGATGGGATGGAAGGGAAAATGACAGAATCCCTTGGAGGAACACATCCGTCCTTATGCCCATTGTCACATCAGCTGAAAAGATCAGCTTCTGATGCCAAGAATTGATACACGTGGATGTGCACATGGTATGGGCTGCAGATAGGCCATGTGCGCGATATGGGCGGCAGATAAGCTGAGTCACTTCAGTCACGTGATTTGCTCATGCTTCCGGTCCGAGTTTCAGATCATTCATTACACGTTGCACAGACGGAGTCCATGAAATCTACACCAGTGCAAATAAACAAAATAAGTGAGATCAGCCATGGATGCATGAAGACTGGCCACATCTTCATACAGCCATGGATGAGAGAAAGTGGGAAAACTGTACGTAAGACAAAGAGCGACTATGTAGTTCTGTCTATGCATCAAATAAGCTCCATTCATACTATGAGACTATATGATATACGTACCTTGAGAATGATCCAGTCTTGTGCCATAGAATACTACATATGGATACTGAAGCTAACAACCATGAGCACAATGTACTACATACGCGGAATCAACCACTCACTCATACGGCATCTTTACTGCCTGCAATATGCCACGTCACCAAGGTTCAATATTGGCCCCCTACCGGAAGCAAATATCAGTGCAGCATTGCATACGGATTGAGAACATACCAAATCATATGCATCTAGAATATGGACACACATGCAGCATGACCATTAGATCCAAAGTACCCATACAAACAAGAGATGGCGCACACCAACCAAGTGTCAGTGCGGAGGCCCTCTTATGCCCAAATGACATACGCTTGATTGTTATGACAGAGTCACAATGATGCCCCCAGAACCCAACAACAATGTAAACAAGTGACAGCACACGCCAACCAAATATCAGCGAGGAGGCTCCCAAATACCCAAATGGTATATGCTTGTTCTTAGTGGCCTTAGTCACAGGAAAGCCCCCAGAACCAAAGTAAAACCCCCAGAACCCAGTACAACCGCAACTTCTAGATCAGAGTAGGTCAACGTAGCATACTCAAATAACTGCATACCTTGTGTCAACCAGCCTAGCCAGGCTACCTGCATGCCCATGGCAACATGCAGATTGTCTGTCTAGGCAGAGACTGTTGTGAGGGCCAGGTTTTAAGAAGAATGATGGAGGGGAATCAGACGAACATGGGGGTTGGGAATGAGGAACCACAATCGCCTATGCTGACTATATGTGACAAGAAAAGAGGCTTGGCATCAAAGCATGTGCGGTGTTGCACTAGCCGCTATGACTCATCCAATTGAGCGGCTAGTTGTTAAAAATACATCAAGAAATGAATTACTGTAACACCCCCGCTCACACCTACAGATACACTTAAACCAATCTCATTCTAGAGAAGTCTACAGACTGTATGTATCATTAGGTAGTGTTCAAAGTGTAGTATGTGTGGCGACTATCCAACATGTTATCTACAGCACTCCGTGTGCTCATACTTTCCTGATGACCAGCCTGGATGACCTCCGCAGAGTTTGCTTTGCGCACGCACAAAGTCATACCCTTGTACGTGCAGGGTGCCCTGGCTTTGGAGTCACAAGCAATTGAGGATACAACAGTGGTTGAACATCGCCATTCACTCCCCATCGCAGTTGTCAAGCTTGGCCACGTGGAAGTCCTCATTGGACATCTTTGTCATTTACATTGGATTAAACACCATTCATTATTGAATGTTTCTTATCTTAACATGGGTACATTAATGAATGGCCCTTAATCTAATCCTCAGATTAGATTAAGGATTAGAATGGATCAACTTGTATGGATTAATCACACTAGTCCTTGCTAATCCCCACTAATCTGTGTAATCTGTGTTATGCACAGGTGTGTAGTGCCAACTAAGCTATTGCTAATCTGTACTTAAGTGTTGCTAATCCCCACTAATATGTGTTATGCACAGGTGTGTAGGGCCAGACAGGTCACACTAATGCTCACTAAGCCATTGCTAATATGTACTTAAGCTACTACTAATCTGTACTTAAGCTACTACTAATCTGTACTTAAGACACTACTAATGCGTACTTAGGCTGCTACTAATCCATACTTAATCTGCTACTAATCCATACTTATGCTGCTACTAATCCGTACTTATGCTACTTCTAATCTGTACTTATGCTACTTCTAATCCATACTCACTCTACTTCTAATCCGTACTTACTGCGTACTACTAATCCATATTCTAATCCGTACTTACTGCGTACTACTAATCCATATTCACTCTACTTCTAATCCGTACTTACTCTACTTCTAATCCGTACTTACTACTAATCCATACTTACTCCACTTCTAATCCATACTTACCACTAATCCGTACTTAGTCTACTTCTAATCCGGGATCACTACTGCTCGTTGTGTTTCCCAGTCGTCGTGTTCACTTCCGTCATCCTCGCACTCGCCTACGTCATATTCGCGCTCGTCGGGTGCGTGCTCGTGCTCGTGCTCGTTGCATTCGTGCTGGTCGTGCTCACCCTTGTAGGGCTTGTGGTCATCGTGCTCGTACTGGTCATGCTTATGCACGTCGTGTTTGCCCTGGTTATGCTCGTACCGCCCGCACTCGCCGCCATCGTGCTGACCGCTCGCCGCCATCGGGCTCGGTGCGCTCCTGGCTGCGGGGCTCGTCCTCGCCGTGCGACTGCTCGCCGGAGGATGTCCCCATCGTCCTTGGGCCGGTCGGGCTCATGCCCAGCCACCTCCTGCTTGGCAGGCTTGTCCCGGTCGCGCACGACCTCGTCATACGTGTCCGTGATGGTTTGTTGTGGGTCCCCAGGCTGTCGCCGGGCTGGTGCCTGGCAAGCTTCTGCCTGCCGCGATCGTCATGGCCACCCACGAGATCGTCGTGCTTATTCACGCACGTCTCGGTTGCGCACGTCTGCGGCGGCCTCGCTTAATTACAGTCAGCCCTGTGAAGGTATCCACGGCGGGTTCGCGCTCACCTGCGTTGGGAACGAGTTAAGTGGGCCGACTGTTGCGAGCCACACTCGCAGTCACCGGGGCACGGCGCCGCGGCTGGGCTCCTGGTTGTCAGGCGAGTCCTCGGCGGGCGACCGCACCGCGTCCCTGTCCTAAGCGCGGTCGTGCTCGCTGGGGTTGACCTCGTGAGGCTCCTGCGCCGTGCTTTCGGGGGCCGTGCTTTGGCGGGGCTACGGTGGGTAAACATCGGGTACTGGGCTTCTGTTGACGACAGCCTGAGGCTCCGCAGCTTCTGACGTGGCGACTTCGGCACACATCGCCTGGTCATGGAAGTGCTAACCACGCAGCGCGTGGCAGGAGATCGGTAGGGCGTGTGTTAGAGGGCAGTGGCGATCTAGGGCGGCGATGACAAGGCGGGTCCGACTCACCTGCTCTGGCAGCCCTGTCCACCCTCGTTCCGTCCTTGTCCCCGATTCCCCGCCCTATGCACGTCTCCAGCGTCGCTTTTGACGCGTCGCCAGGGCCGTCGTGGCCGTCCGTCGCGCCGGCTCGATGCGCGTTGCGAACGCGTTGACTCGGTCGCGTTTGCGCGCCGCCTGCGATGCGTTGAGCTGCGGGATCTTGCGGCCGGTCAGACGCATCATCTCTCCGATGTCGAGGGCGACCGAAGGAGCGACGCGACGTGCCGAAGGGATGGGGAGGTAGTGGACGAAGGCTGAAGCATGGGTTGGGGTTGGGAGCGCGTGCGCTCCGCCGACTACCGAAACCGGTGGGACTTTCCGAAACCGGCAACACCGAGCCTGTCGGCCCATTGCATCGGGTAGGCGGCCTCGAAGGGGAGTCCTGGCGCGGCGGCGAAGGAGCAGAAATGGCGTACGTGGAGCCAGGACTTCCTGAGGGCGGCGTGAAGCTGACCACACCTGAGCGATGCAGTGTTCGCGCGCCCGCGAATCCGCCAGATGGGCCGCAGGTACGTTAGCATGCGCTGATGAGCCAGGGCCCAGCAGCATGTCCACCCAGCCGCGAGCGACGGCTGGGACCTAGTAGTCAACGTGTTGATCGGGGAGGGGTGCACTGGCTACAAGCCCCGGGCCCGTACGCGATGCTGCCCCCATAGCAAACCCTTGGGCTGTGATGAGCATGAATCATGACGGAGAATGAGAACATACGTGTGAGGGCAACCGGCTGAGTGACGGGAGGTGAGTAAAACGCGTGGGCATACGTGCGGTGGACTTACCCGCCTCCCGCAAATTTCAAAGGTAAAGACTTTGGCCCACCATAGGTTAGGGGGCGAGTTGGCCAACAGGTTGAACGCGTAGCCTTTCTGGTGAAAGCGTCAGGGGTCGGCGGGATACGATCGGGAAGAAGCGGATAAGTCGACGGGGGAACTACTAGTAAGATATGGGTCAACGCGCAGTCGAGTCGGCGAGAGGGTAGCCGCCTGTACTAAGGACATACCTTTGTTTTTGAGCCCTTGCAATCGGCCTCCTACGCGTTGTGCCTCCTTTGTCCGTGCGCGTGGTGTGAGTCGATCGTGTGCTGATTTTTGAACACACTCACGCGATGACGGGCGGTCGCAAGGGCCGATGGCAGTACATCGCCAGTTCGGTGGAACGAGGGGTACGTGTTGCGGATACGGCCGGCAGGCCATCGTGGTTGCAGCATGCATGGTCCTTGTAGTGAAAACGGTGGTCGTGGAAAACGGTGGTCGTGGACGGGAACTAGGTGATGGGCGCTAGCACTGGCCCGTGGGTCGAGGTCTTGAGTGTCTCGCTGACTACTGCGCGAGGTATGATACATGTCCCTTTCCCCATACGTACAATGAACGACACGTACATCGCGGGGCCGACCGAGAAGCAATCCAGCAGAAGATTGATTCAATTAAGAGGCAGCATAGAGGACGCCCTAATTCCCAGTTAGCAGGACTGGTTTCGTCGCGAAAGATACAATGTAAGTACTGCGCAGCCTCGTAATTGAGAGAAGAAGAGTCAGGAGGCTCGAGAATTACAGCGCGGGCGCATCAAAAACCTCTCAAGGGAGAGGAAAAGCTACCTGCGCGTCGACTAATATATCAGCGCATTCCCTTCGGGCGGAATTGGGCACCATCTCGACACCATTAGGGACGACCCCGAGCACGCATCTTTCCCCTGTAATGCGCATCAGATACAATTCCAACATAAGGACATGGCAAGACTTACTTGACACTACTGGCAGTCGACCTAGTTGTCATGCGGGTAGATATCACCATCTCATCCGACTTCCTTCCCTTGGATGCACCACTACCCCTGCACGTCGTCACTTACGTATTGCTACACGAAAGATGCGATACTCACTTGTTCTTGACCGCCCTTGCCTTTGGTTCGCCCGATTTCCCTGCCTTACGTTTCTTCGCGTGGTGTTCGTCTTCGCTACCCTCGTCAGCCTCCGTCTCGCTATCCACACGTTTGCGTCTGCTGGGCCCCGCCTGGGCATTCTTTATGGCTGCGCAACAATTAGCATATCTTCGAAATGGGGAAGTATGTCGGGCTACCTGGCAGTCGGCGTGCATTCTGGGTCTCCTTCGCGGCTTTGTCGCTCAGCACCTCAGCCTGACCATCGCCAGCATCCACGACGGTCTCGGCATCCGGCTCCTCGTCGGGCTCACCCTCCAAACGACTACCATTCTCGCTAGGGCGCGGGGAAGACGACCGACCGTCGTCGTCATCTTCGTGCTCGTCTTCCTGCTGGTGCTCGTCTTCCTGCTGGTGCTCGTCTTCCTGCTGCTGGTCTTCGTGCTCGTGCTGGTCTTCATGTTCGTGCTGGTCTTCGTGCTCACGCTCGTGCTGTACTTGGCCATCACCTTCACCTTCACCGTCCAAGGCAGGCGAGGCCGCACGGGGCCTTCCAGGCTGTATGTCCTCGAAGCCGAATGCGTCGTCCGTGTGCTTGGCGTTCAGAATATTATCCCAGAGCGTGAACATGCCCGCTGTCGTGTCGGCAGTCGGCCACTTGCGCGCGCTCAGCTCGGCATCGATCGCCTCGTCGGGGACTAACCCGCATTCGTCGTCCGCATCGCGATGAGCGTAAGCTGTCGTTCATCAGTATCACGCGAATGCCCAATGTGCTGCACTCACCCCAGCAGGCTTGGAAATACACATCTAGGACCTCCCTCGCCTTCATCAACGACCATCCGGATTCGTAAGACGGGAGCATAGGCTTGTCGTCTTCATAGGTAATTCCTTGCTCTTTGCCGACGAGTTCCCGCGCTGTAATGCATATCGATTGGGGCTTCCGTGGACGCAAAGAGTGCTAAGTACTTACGAAGGACCTTGTTTGCGTACTCGGCCCATTTCTCATTCTCCTTGTTCAGATTGGCAAACTCGTGGAATGCTGTTGTGCCGTCGAGCTCGTCACCGACAGAGACACTATGTATACGATCGTGTTAGTGATACATGTTGGGGTGCAAGTGACTTACTGAGTGAGTCGCAGCTTTGCATGGCGATCCCTCATTGCGATTCGGGTATAGAATATCACATCGCCTACACAACCCATCCCTTTCCCGATGCAACTCTTCATGACCTGGCTCAGCCAGGTCGGCAGCTTCTGGCGATTCCTGTGGTCAAGGTGAGTATGTGCTCGGTGATGCCACTAATGCGAGAGGACACGCACAGTTCCATCGCAGCGTCAATTTCTTCCGGCGAAGGGTCCTTGTCCTTCAGAGTTTTCGCCTCTTGCTCGAAGAGCAACTTCTCCTCCGCAGGTAGCCCGCCGAAGAGCCTGGTTCGTGTTGTACTCTGAAATCCGCCAGCTCCGATCCCGCCCTTGTCGGTCTCGGACTTGACAAGGTCCTTGTTCTGGCTTCCCCACAGCTCTGACGCACCCTTGGCACGAGTTCTCTTGAACAGCGGGTTGGATGTGATGCTGGGATGGCCCGCCGCCTTCGTGCTCACCTGCGTGGTCTCAGTCGACTCACCGCTGTGGTTCTTGAAGTAATGCCTCACGGCCTGCTCACACGATTGTCTCAGTGGCATGCTACACAACCCGACGCGGCGGAAAGGGACTTACGTCGTCTATATTCTGCGCCTCCGGCCACCCGTCGGCCTCTAGCGCGGCCACCGTCTTCTCACGAATACTGTTTCGGGCGACCTGGTCGGCTGCCGTAGTTCGGTCCCATTCTTCCAGGGCCTCCCTCATAATCGTCCGCCGATTCCTGACCCCCCACTTAGTACGCAGCCGTCTCGGCTTGGCCGCCTTCGCCTTTTCACGCGCGATGTCAAGAGGCTTCATGCTCGGGTCTGCGGACTTGCTTACGACGTTTGACGCATCGCTGGGTGCTTCAACCACCTCGCTGGGCATCGTCTTCCGAAGTGACAGTTAGTGACGAATCAAGCCCTGCCAGAATCGAAGACTTACGGTCGCGGCGAGAACGTACTCAGAGCGGTCACGATCAGTGAGGTGAGGAACAGCAAGGCTGAGGACTGGCTGAGGACTTGCCTGCCCGGCTGGCGTGAACCTGTCGTTCCGTTCGGTTATAATAGGAGTTAGTGCTCTTGATCGCACTACTGCTCTCCTGTGGTACCTGACAACCGGTTTGATCGGCCACTCCACCGCCACAAGACCCTAAGAAGGGTTACAACATGGCATTAAATTACGCCCGCTCGATCCACTCTTAAGACGATTACAGCTAAGAACTACTGCCACATGTCTATCGACGTTTCAAGGTTCTCGCTGCAGCGCGGCACGGTCCTAAGGCGGTGTACTAGGCAGAACGGTTCTTGAAATAGTGCTTGATCGCCTGCCGACAGATGAGCACCGAACAGTCGTGCACGAGGATGCTAACGTACCACCACCTTGTTCACAGGGCTGTCCCAACGGCCGTCTTGCACGATCGCCGCCTCAGCTGCAGCGATGATTCTCGCGCGGCCTTCGCGGTCGGAGGGCGAGGTTTGCCTCCATTCGCTCACATACTTCGACATGAGCGCGTCGAACTGACGCGTCAATCCCCGACGGCGACGCTGGGCTTGGGGTTCAGCGACGTTTGCGTGCATCACGTTTTGAGGGTCGGCTTGCATTGTCTGGGGTAAGCAACGTGTGGTGAGTTCAGGGGAACATAAACAAGTTCGGATGGCTTACTGGTGACGCAGACACGGGACGCGGTGTAACGAGTAGGCTGTGAACGACGATGGTCCTATGTGACGGTCACCATTCGGACTTTATAACGACGCAGGACGAGATCACGCGGACAGTAGTTCGAGTCGAAGTAGATAACGGAGTGGTGATTTTCCGGAGCGGTGGGTATACGCGTTCGGCAGAACTTCAGGACCAATGTACTACACAGACGACCTCGACACTAGCATCTCGATCTCCTCATCAGCATCAACAACCACCCACACCTCGTCGTCCGATTCGTCCGATTCCGGCTCTTCCATGCGGGCTTTCCCCTTGTTTGCGGCACGCTTGCTCGGCGATGCCGGCACGCCGCCGCGCTTCCTCTTCTGTCCCGCCGATGAGCTCCCGGTCGAGGAACTAGGCAGAGTGAGGCGCCGACTGGGTCCCGGAGAAGACACGGACGACTTCGACGGGCTCGCATCGGGCGTAATGACACGCCCTGAGCGCATAACGCGACCAGGCGTCGACACCAGGAGCGCCTGCGAGCTGTTGTCAGGTGATGGGCTGCGGGCGCCGGAGCTGCTAGCCTGCATGTGCTGCAGCAGCGACGGCAAGGGCGCCGGGCCGTCGTAAAGAACCTGGTGAGTGAAAACGAGATCTTCTAAACCGGGGCAGTCCACGACGCCGGGAGCCCTGTACACGAGGGCCTCGTCGCGATGGAAGTAACGATGCTCGTGCACTCGCGGGAAGCCGACAAACTCTCGCAACTTTGCGTCGTACAACTCGTAGTTCTCCCGCGGCTTCAGCGACAGGATGTCGCAGGTAATCGGCTGACGGAACGTGAGCTCGAGCTGTATGCCGCGGTCTACACACGTCACTGGGAGGGAGACAGGAACGTCCCCGTCCTACAACGATATTAGAGCAGGTATGAGGGCACAAAGGAATGGGCTTACCCGAATGTATACATAAGCGACCACCGTCTCGGTGTGGAGAGGGGGGCGCCCTGGTCCGGTTGTAGCAGCCACCAACGCGGGGGGAGTTGAGCGCCAACGAAAGTGACACCACCAATTCTGGCAGGTGGGTTCAGACTTGCGACGCGCGCTCTGACCTCGAAGAGCTGCGCCTCCGTCATCTGCAGCGCGCCGGGCTTGAGGTGATTTACGCATCGACGGTGTCGGGGCAGAGTACACTGGTTTGAATACATCAGTCCCACCCTCCGAGACATCCGCAGCAAACCACTCACGATCCCGAAGACTTTGCCCAAGGACGACGCGCTTGACGCTCCTAAGCTAACGATGGCGACATGACGCACGTCGGGGTAGGTCTCGCACGGCGGTAGAGCTTGGCGAAGACGTGCATTCGAGGGGAGGTATTCATGGACGATGTCCTTGACGCGAGGATCGCTACGCACCATGATGTCGAATGAGCACCGTCTTGTTGGGCTGTCTGTCCGCTCTTTTATACACGAATGGCGCAGACTTATGTGCTCCGTAACCGATGTGACGGCGTACTGGGGATTAATATTTGCCAAACAAAAAAGGCTCGCTTACCGACGTTCATCCCTTCTTTCGATGGCGATCCTGATCGCCAAGTTGAATGTATTTACAGCAGTTCACTATAACACGATGCGTAACGACGAGGAAAACGGCCTTGGGTTCATGCGTATCGTTACAACCAATTGTCGGGGAACACAGCGGGGGAGACAGGAAGACGGTGGAAGACATTAACGAAGGAGCGGACGTAAAATGCTAAGACGGAGCGTTGTAATCGTTCGTAGTCCTCGGGCGTGTACTCTATGATCGCTTCCGGGGGACTGACCTTCAACTCCTCCGGCAGTCCCGGCCACCGAGCCATCACGCGGAGCAGCTCGCGAAACGTTGCGCGGGCAGCAGTCCACTGGGGCTGTGGTGGAGAGACCCACGATGCACCCGATCTCCCGTCCTGCTCCCAAAGAGGTATCACCCGGAGCCCCGAACCCTCAGCACTCCAGACGCGACACACGGCCGATTCACGTTCCCAGCGTTGTAAGGTCCCCCAGACACGCGACCCAGTAAGTACACTATCGAGCTCACGAAGCTCGCACCGCCAGTTCACCTCGTGGATCTCCCAGAGTATCTGAGCACGCAAGCTGCTTTGCTTGACGTTCTCAGCCATCACGGAGGTCGAGCCCCATTCTCCAGTCTGACTTGCGTCGTACGAGGGGAGTCCTGCAGTCGCGGAGAACAGCCGCCGGATGTTCTCCTGGAGCTGTCGTCGCTCCTTGCTCCGAGACGCGATATTGCTCTGCGACGGCTCGTCGGCCTGTACCTTGTAATCACCCCAAAGGGCGTCACGCCATTCAACCACGCGGAGCGGCGCCGCATTGATGGTCGGGTCGAGCAGACGTTGGCGTAGAAAATGTCGGATTCGGACGTAGTTACGGAAATATCTGTTGATTTTGTCTCCGGGACCTTCGAAGACGAACGGCGGCGGCCAGTAGTACATTGACGATGATTTCGGAGGAGGGAGGGTACCGACGGCCGACAAGGCGGACGCCCACATGATCGGGACCGGGCATTCCATCAGAGGCTTGTACCTTAACGACGGGTGGGGCTCAACAGCCGGAGCCTGACTGCGGTGTCCGCGGTGAGTAGGGCGCGAAGATCGACGCGACGTGGAGGGGGGAGCTTGAACATTCTTGCGCCCGCCATCAGCGTCCAGTCGCGCCTTCTTCGTCGGGCGGGCATCGGGCGAAGCTGACGTCGGATCTTCACCTTCACTGGGCATGGACGACAGGTCAGCATCCAGTAAGGTTTGGAGGACCTCCTGCTGCATCTTGAAGGGCCAGTCCCCTGGGTGTTGGACTATCGCCGACAGGTCTCCCTCCCCACTATACAACCGCGGGTACGACAGCTCCTCACTCATCTTAGAGGAGATCGCGTCGGGGTAGGAGTAGACCTCTCGAACGCGTACGAGCTTGGTGAGCGGCTGGATGAACCAAACAGGTATCCCCAGCCTGAACAGGCCCTGCGCGGTGGCAGGGTTGTTCGTAAAGGCTCCGCGCAGGGGCAGGGCTTCCTTGGCAGGGCGCGAGGGGTGGCGCACGCGAGGCTGTACGACTTCAAAGAGAACGATGAGCCCCAGAAGCTCCAGACAGAGCCTAGAGACGTGGGCGGCGACGGCGATGACATGCGTGCGCCAAGTCGGGAGTATAGTAAGTCGGTCGAGGGCCTGCCTGATGGTCGCGCAGAGGTGGTAGCCGAACTTTTTTTGGTCTTCAATCGTCCCTCCACCGACTCGTTGAAACCTCTGCATCACGCCGCGCGCATCGGCGCCGAGGAGCGCAAGGAACGGCGGCTTTAGACGACCCAAGTCCGGCACGCCACACGCGAGGTCTAGCTCCCACTCGCCTTCGGGCACAGGATCGTAAATTACATTATACTTGAAACTAAGACCAAGGAAGTTCGCGTCCTTGGCGGGGATACATGCATGGTGCACGACGTTGGAGTGATAGAGCTGGGGCCAGATGGAGTACTCCTGAGGCCCCCATCGCCCGTCCACGCGAGTGCAGATGCGACCCGGTGTTGCGACAGGGAACTCGGGCATCCAGGTCGCGTTCGGCGTTGTCACGACCGCCCTGCGGTCCATGTTCCACTCAGTTGCGATCCGACCGTCGCACCACTGGAACTCGATCGGACTATCAGTTTGAGCTAAATGGTCGTCAGTCTCATATCACGAGCACGAAGATTCCATACGCACGAAACAAATGCGGTGTTGCGTCCAGAACCAACTCCTCCTGCGCTACATCCGTCCCGCCGTTTTCTTCCCTGCGCTCCAGGCCGAAAACGGCTAGTCGTAGCTCATCGGCCGAGCCTTGCTGGTTCCCTCCAGCCGCACATGGCTCCGTCGGCGCGAAGGGGTCCCGATGGGTGGGACGCAGGGGTGCCTCACTTGATCGACGCTGCCGGGTTAGTGAGCCGCTGACACCGGGACGGTCAGCAATAGACGGGGCTTGGATCTAAGCATCGCACTTACAACGGCTCGCCCTGCATGCCCCTCGACGATGTTCCGGCTCTCGAGGACCTATCTTCGGGGTCACATTGTGTTTGTAGCATGAGAGCTGGTACTCACGTTGGCATGCCCGACGACGTGTTCGATATACGAGACATCGTTACTAGTTGCACACGGATGGGAAGGACGATCACTTTGACACCCGAGTTAGTGTCCCGTAAAACCCAAGACGCGAGAACGTACGTGTCCCGAGGGCTGAGAACAATTGTGGCTTGAAAGTCGCGAGGTCGTGGGTCCGTGACTGAGCGATAGAGACTGGGCGTCGTGGCGTTAACACCCCAGGACGCGCACAGTTGTCGAAGAGGGGCGACGTCGGGCTAAAGCTCTAGGTCGCGCCGCTCAGGAGATGTCCCTGGAACCTTGAAGTGGTCGCCTCGGGCCTTGAGGAAGTCGGTGAGGTCTTGAGGACGTCGAGTCCGGCCTTGACGGAGTCGATGGGGCTTGAGGATGTCGAGTACGGCCTTCACGAAGTCGATGGGGCCTTGAGGATCTCGAGTCGGCGAGGAGAGGGATTAGACAGTGATTAGAAGTGCAGCGGATAAGAGGGATTAAGAGGGGATTGAGACGAAAGGATTAGGAAGGATAAAGGATGGGATTGGTCGGCCAGCCACGAACTGCGAGCCACAGTCACGTGACTGGACGCGTCGAGCCAATCACGTTGCCTGGTGTCTCTTGATCCTCCTCTAATCCGTGTCTAATCCACCTACTCTACCCTGCGTCTAATCCGTCTCTAACTACCCTTTAATCCGCCTTACCGCACTCGCGTCTCAACACACTCTGCTCATGACTGTCCTCCGTGTTCAAATCCATGCGCCTTAATCCGCCGTCGCGAGCACAGGTCTCAAGACCGTCCTTTCGAAAGCGTGGCCTCAAGTGTACGACCAGCAACAGCAAGACACGGGTGAGCGAGGGGCCGTAAGGTCACCTTTGCCTCCGTGACATGACACGCTCCCGCAGGGTTACCTGCGGTTGAGATGTCCGTGCCCCGTCACCGACCAACCTCCTAATGTGTCGGCTCTACCAGATTAGTCGGTCAACCTAACGCACGAAGCCTCGCATACAAACGCGCCGCGGCATCCTTAGAAACCCCAGGTACGTTGGTCCCGCTGGATCGTTCACGCTACACAGGGTCTACAACACGCGTCCAGGAACCATAGGAACGTCTGCACTCCCATCGCCACGCCCCGGACAGCCAGCATCTTGCATGAACTCGAGGTACAGTACGTGTCTACAGTCTTAGGTCTTGCGTTCTTTCGGTGGGCTCACCACTTCCACTGTCGGTGTGATGGCCACAGGCGCGTTGCCGCGCTCCATGCGGTGCATCTCCGCTCGACGTTGCAAGGCCCGGGTGAAGCTGAGCCGATCGACGAAGGAGAGGTTATCTGGATCTTAGACGAGTGCAGCCTAATTCGACACCGGTATGTCGTCCTCCGAATCCCTCTCCCCCGCAGCACATGCTCATCGTTCGGTAGTTTTCGGGCTCTCATCTGCGACGCGGCACTGTTCCCGTCTTTCGGTGTCATCAGAAGGCTCGGCATCGACATCCCTCTTAGTCCCCGACTACGCGGGTACGGGCCATGCCACTTTCAGTAAGTCCCCCGCCCTTCGGGCACAACGAGGGTGCATCTAATAGTGCCGCCCCCAATATAGCCATATGGAACTGCGTCGCATCGGCCTTCACACGAACGCGCATGAGGATACAGCCTGCCTCTACGAATCCAGGGCGCAGCGAGCGGGATTCGCGCCTGGTTGTTTCATGTAGCCATAGTACATCTCGATTTACGAAACAATCTATCACGGCCGTATTAGCTTCATTGAATGACCCGTATCCGACGGGCTGGAGGCAGGGCTGATGCATGGTCGAAGAACAACGGCGGGCCCAGCTCCCCGACGCGTCGGTGGCGGGTGATTGACGGAACCGACTGCGAGCTGTCTGCGAGCATCCCGCACTCCTTGAGAACATCTGTGTACGATGAGCGCGTTGCATGGCCGACACAAACGGCCTCGGGTTCACATCGAGGAGATCCGTCCACCCGTCTTCGCGGTCACAGAGACAATCTCTGTGCGCCCCACTGGGCGTGCTCGACTCTCCGCCTCCGTCAGCCGTCGCTCAGTCTCCTCCTCTCCCCCGAAGAAGCGTCCGCGGGTCACGTCTCCGCGTCCTACGAGCCCCGCACCTCCGCCATTGGACATTCCCCCTCCACCTCCCCCTCCCCTGCCATCGGCTACGGGACAGGACAAGACAGACAAGTCGAAGGGTCGCACGATTAAGGTATACCACTTCACTCGTGCGCTTCAGCATGCTAATGACTCTGCCATCAATGATTCAGAACGGGATCTCCAAGGTCTTGGACAAATGGATACCTCATTTCAAAGACATCCTCGAGGACATTCTCGCTTCTGAGGTACCGGCGGGACTCGATACGCCGTGCGCCTGTGGGCGATCGAAGGCGACCACTCGATGCCGTGACTGCCTGCAGTCCCCACTCCAATGTCAAGACTGTATTGTCGACGGACACCGTCTGAATCCGCTCCATTGGGTCGAGGAGTGGAACGGCCGCTACCTGGAGAAGAAGGATCTGTCCGATCTCGGGTTCGAGATGCACCTCGGCCATGGCGGCTCTCCTTGCAGGTGCGCACCGGCGGTCGCTCACCCCATCACGTACACCGTCACGCACCATAACGGCGTGCACCGCGTCCGCATCCACGAATGTCATTGTCCGAACAGGCGGCGCACTGTCTCGCAGCTCCTTCGGATAGGCCTGTTTCCTGCGACGCTGGAGCGCCCAGAGAGCGCGTTCACCTTCGACGTTCTTCGGCAATGGGACCTGCATTTCCTGACGTCGAAGAAGGGCGCCTACGACTACTTTCAAGCACTGCGTCGACTTACGGACAATTCAGGGACGCGGACGGTCAAGGTACGTCCTCACGTCAATACTGAGATGGCTTCTAACATGGCTACAGAATCGATATCGCGAGATGAACGTTGTAGGACGAGTGTGGCAGCATTTGACCGCGCAGAAACGAGCTGGGCTGCACCACGGCCTAGCCCTCCCCAACCGACCTGCGTCCGTTACTGTACCTTGTGTTGCTTGTCCGTGGCCGGGCTTCAACATGCCCGACAACTGGAAAAGCACCCCGACGGAGTTAGCGTGAGTGCCCGATGCAAGCGGAACTTGTAGGTCACGGTTAACCGAAGACGCCAGATACATACACGCTTGCGAACTGGGTGGGGACGGCAACCACGGACTGCAGAAGAAGCGGAAGCGAGATGACCCCGACGATGTGAGCCTTTCCGAAGGCGAAGGATACTTTGTGCATCCCGCGAAGATGCAGAGCTATCTGGAGGCGATCGACTCTGAACCTGCAGTGCGTATTCATGCAGCCTTGACCTGCAATCTTACTCACTTCCCCGACTTAGCCGGAGACCTGCAGTGGTTTCAAGGTTGGAAGGGCACAGCGGCCGGGCAAGTTTCGTAACTTGGAGGTCAGTGGCGTGGTCGCCGTCATTTGCATCCGTCATGGGTGTTTTCGTCCAGGCGCGATGGTCGACTTGCAGAAGGGTGAAAGGTTTGTCTGTTGCTGCACATCCTTGTCTCTCTCTCACCCTCAATCAGGTACGGTCATATGGACTTTGCCTTAGCTGGAGCACTCGAAGGGCTGCAAGAACTGCAACACTTTATCTTCACGTACGACGTCGCGTGTATTTATGGCAAGAACCTGCACCAACGCTTCGCCTCCCGGTTCCCGCATCTCGTCCCGCTGCTCGATCGTATGCAGCTCCTCCTTCCGAAACTGCACATGCTCGCGCACAAAGAGCTGTGTCAGATTCTCTTCGCGCTCTGTTATACGTGGGGTGCAGGCCTCTCCCACGGCGAGAGCGTCGAACACCCGTGGGCGGAACACAATCAGGTCGGTCTTAGTACGCGCGAGATGAGTGTCGGGCATCGCCACGACGCTCTCAATGCTGTTCACAACCACTGGAATTGGTGCAAAGTGGAAGGTACAGGTTCGTGTGACTCCGTAAATAGGCATATCGACCCTCGCTGACAATACACGTTCAGCTTCGTTTCTCGCGAGGAAACTTAAAGAAGCCTTCGCATTGCAGGACCAGAAGAAGAACCTCTACGAAGCCCTCACCAAGGTCGCTGGCGACAAAGTGGAAGAATGGAAGGCGATGAAGGGCGACATGGGTCCCCCGGCCGCTGATGGCTTCGCGGGAGGTAGTAGTGGCGTGCCGGAGACTCGGAGGAAGTCGAAAGCCAAAGCCAAAGCCAAAGCCAAGACCAAGGCCAAGGCCAAGGGACGCAAGGCGTCCTCGACGACTGCCGACGCGTTACAGAGTGTGTACATGTTGGATGAAAGTAAAGGTAGGGACTGGTTGTTCGGCAGCGTCGAGTGGTATGCTCACAAATATACATCAGTGCCGAGTGCCGGGAGGGCCTACGAAGAACTCGCGAAGCTCGAGATCAGCCCTAGAGCTGACTTCACCACAGCTGCTGCTCATCAAGTCCCGTCCGGAACGGTGAACTTCTTCAGAAAGGGTCTTGAGCTTGAGACACGACAGTGAGTCCCTTCTATCCTTCGTCGACCTGGTCTCACATCGGATAGATATGAAGTGCGGGCCAAGCTCAAGAAAGTGCGCGGCGGCGGCACTGCCGATACTCTTGAGATTGACGAGACGGACGCCGGTGTCGCCGCTGAGCGGCGTACTCTGCGGCGTGAACTCGAGAGGTGGCGCGACCTCCAGGCCTCCGTCATGCCTGATATGGACTTACCCGAGGTCGACGTCGACGAACCAGAGGAAGATGACGACGAAGATTGCGGGTCGCCGGAAGACGAACCCTTGGTCGTGCCTTCTGACTTCTCCACCGCGGAGCGGAAAGACCTTGGGCTTGACGCGCTCGCTGTATTCGAACGGCGCATCCGGCTGGGCCACGCGTATGATCTGCTGAACGCAGTGAAGATGTCGGTGAATCACCAGGGTGCGTTCCTGTCCGACAAGCGCAAGCACGCACGTGGTCAGAAGGACAACACCCGGTCGCAAAAGCAGGTCTCCACTGCCGCCGCACGAACGCGAGTCCTGGCTGGGTTGTACAACTACAACCGCGACCGCCTCCTGGCCCTGAGCGACTCCACCCCCTCCGACATCCTCAAAGCAATCAATATGGAGCAAGACCTCAAGAGCAAGAACTGGCGTAAGCCGCGCGAACAGGGCGACAGCCGCGAGGAACAGTCGTGGATTTGGACTGTCGTTCCACCTTGGACGAGCAAGACCGACGCAGATGCTTGGCAATCAGAAGGTCAGTGCTCGATACCTGCTCGTCTTAGCGGCACTAACTACTGTTGAAGTCGATCGCGTGCAGTGGTTCCGAGCTCGGGCGGACCTGGCACGAGTGAATGAAGAGATCAACAAGCTGCATGCTGAGTTCAAGCGCACGATACTCGGTTTCAAGAACCTGGGCCTGGCATGGAACTCTCTGGCTTTGAACACGGAGCTATCTGAGGGGGCTCGCGCGTATGCAAGAAGGAAAGCGGACATGTACCAGAGGCTGAGTGATCAGTGCTCTGAGACGTTCGCCAAGGCGCGCAGGGATCCCGAGGAGAAGTGGGATTACTCCGAGGTAAGTTACATTTCGTGTGCTGCTATCATACTGAACCTCTGAGGCAGATCACGAACCAGGGCGACTCGGAGACTGCTGAAGTCCGTGGCCACACGGAGGGCCCACAGCAGGACGAGCCGGGACGAGGCGTTGGGGCGTCTGGGCGGAGATGACGAGGGTATCTTTACGGCGCCTGAAGGGGTGGCATCTAGGTGCGTTCGGCCTCCCCGCATACCCTCTGCTTGCCTGTTCATGCTCACCCTGCCTGCAGAAGAGCACCCAGCGAGAGGGCTAATCTCCCTCTGAGGGAAGGCTGGTGCATCGCTGCAGGGCTGCCAGCCTCGTTGTTCCCGACGCGGAGGGGTCGATGGATGCTTCAGGCCTTGCCGGGTGACCCCATTCCCCTCGCGCCGAAGGAGTAACCGCACTCCCTTCCGGCGACTGCCCGCTTCGTCGCAGAGCTCCGATCGACCAGTACGAGCACACGCCTGGATGCCCTGCGGTAAGCTGCGTCGATGTTCGCGTTGGGGATCGGCCCGGGTGGTCGCATCCGCAGCTTATCAAAGGAAGTCCTCCGCGTCGCTCTCGAAGTCGCGCGAACGGGTTCACTTAGCACGCTCGACTTCTCCGCCCTCATCCATGGCTGCGCCGCCGCGGCTCAACCCTTTCGATCATGCACGATCATGCACCAACTACGTTTCCCCCCGCTCGCGGTACCTTGTAATACACTAAATACTGCGTGGCCAGGTTCGCTCCCCACCAGTTTCACGCCCGGAGTCAGTCCCCCAACGCCGCCATCCTTCCTCGCCTGCTGCCACCGCGCGCTGGCAGCCCTCCCGTCTGGTCGCCTTCCTAATCGGGCAGGTTGGCACGTGCGCGCACGCTCATGAACGCCCGCCACCCGCCTTGATGCGCACCACTCCCCGATATGGAAGGTGTCTCATTGGCCGTGCCTACACTACCGCCAACCCTCTCGGGTCCGTTCTGGCGAGTGCACAAGTGGCGCCGCGGACCCGCCGAATAATCCACAATATATTTGCCTTCGAGTGCTGCTAGCCCGCGCGCGTGACCTCTGCGGGCCCCTGCAAACCCTTCATACACCAGTCGGTGTGCACCAGTCGCGGACGTCTTTGTTCTGCTCTCACGAAGGCGGGCTGCAAACCCTGGTCATCGGTAACGCGAAATTCATAAGTGCGATCGCGAGAAATTCAATGCATCCAGCTGTGAGTAGCGCTGTCCTTGATCCAGAAGTGCATTCGAACCGAATCATCCTCGTTCCTCGCCCCACACCTCGGCATGGACTCCTCACCGCCTTATGTCGTACTCTACAGCCCAGCTCGACTAGACTTCGCCTTGCAGTCTGGCGGAACCAAAACCTCAACGAAGAAGCGTCCTTGCCTGGTCACCGAAGTGCAGAGTGACCGGATGCGGATCGCGCCCCTTCTAAGTGCCCGAAAGAATAGCAAAGTGAGTTACCGATTCAATACCATGCTGCGAAACCTGAACTAACATTCCAGATGAATCCTCGCGCATGGAGCGTCGTCGACTACGTTCTACGAGGGCCCAAGCCACCCAGCGTCGAGGGTGTCGAGCTGACGACTTTCGCGATGCCTTTGAGTACCCGGCGCACGCGCGGATGGAAGCCGACGTCGTGCTTCGTCTGGACATACGATGGAGGAGTCTGGATCGACATGAGCCACTTCTTCGAGCTGGTGGCTGTGAATGCGGCAGCCGTCCTCGATGCCGACTTCGACATGGACGCGGCGTACATCGCTAACTTGCGTGCATTGCACCGGGCTCTTGGTACGTGTGATTTGCGCTGAAACCGAAAACATACTGATCTTGAACAGCAGAAGGAAGATAGTCTAATCCCCTGTTCGCCTCGTCAGCACGCTATACCTCGTATATGCTACGTCACGTAACATGTACAGGTATGGCTGCCCCGCCCGCTCTCCAACGCGCTCGTGGTGCCGCATCGGACGTGGTCGCCGGCTTGCCAGTGCCATGGCTGTCTGGCCACCGCCTCCCATCCACCTGCCACGGGATCGTCCACTCGTTCCCTTGTCCCTCCCGGCACCATTGCTTTTGCACAGCGCCTGACACACACTCTCCGTGTTGAGCGTATTCTCGCTTCCGCCGCTTCAAAAAACGATCCACCGCCTCGCTACTGTGGACGACCATTGTCTAACGCGCGGGCCAGCTCACTGGAGGGGCGCGCCGTCCCAGCGCTGCATTCTCGACCGCCATCATCTGCAACCGCGAGTGGCCGACTCTCTTCAAGCCCCGTGCGTGGACCGGACACGCGAGCGCGAACGCGCTGCCATGTTCTCGATCGGCGTGGCGTGGCTCATGGAACGCGCAACGGGCACCCGAGTCCTGTCCTGCGATGTGCAAGCAAGGCAGGCACAACTGGATTCGGTTGTCAAGCCCGGGAAAAGAGGCCCAAAGGATGACGAATATGAAGCGAGCGCGGCAGGAACGATGGATGTAAGCCGGAGTAACGAGGGTGCCAGTTGAAGGAAAAAGAGTACGAAGGCTCGAAATTGCAATGTACGTCTTGTATGTTCATTCCTACCCCCTTCTTGACGTGTTCCACCCCTCTCCATCGCGTCAAATGCCTGCGTATCATGTCTGCCTGTCCCTCACACATCCACCTGTCCAGCGTTCGACCCAGTTACTGAGCGCCCTCACTCCCGAGGTGTTCCGCGTACTCTCGCCAACACCTCGCCGTTGTTATTGCGACCCATTCTTGAACGCGTCGCGACATCCTGGCCAACGCATTCGTGCATTCGTCGCCGACGCCTCGGATTACTCGTGGAGCCATGCGCTGGCAAATGGTGAGATTCGCGATTGTGACCGTGCCCTTCGTTCTCGCGCGGTCTTGAACCTGTCTTACCTGCTTAGGTCGCCTGTTCCCTTCCTCCCGTATCTGCTCCTCCGCTGCCACACTCCCCTTCATGGCCCACGAACCCGATGCTGCGGGCCGAAAAGCTCGGGCATGCCGGTTTCGGAAGGACCCACCTGTTTCGGTAGGTAGTCGCCGGAGCGCCGGCGCTTGCGCCCCTCCCTCAGCTACCACCCCCTTCCTTCTCCACCTCCCGCCGCTTGTTCGGTCGCCCTCGACATCAAAGATACCATCTGCAACCGCTGCATCTAGATCGCGCGACTCGAAGCGTCGCGGGCGGCGCGCAAACGCGACCACGTCAACGCGTTTGCAACGCGTCTCAAGCCGGGGCGACACGCGTTCACGACGGGCTCTAGCGGCGCGTCAAAAGCGTGGCTGTTGGCGTGAATACGGTGGGGAATCGGGGATAAGGAAGGATGGAGGGCGAACATTACCAGCGGGGCTGCCAGAGCAGGTGAGTCGCCCCCGCCTTGTCGCCACCGCCCGCTAAAACACGCACCCTGTCCATCTTCCTTGACGCGCTTCGTGGTCGACAATGCCGCGACCAGGTGATGTGTGCCGAAGTCGCCATGTCAGGGCCTGCGGAGCGCTAAGTTGGCGCCAGCAAAGGCCCGCGAATCGACGCTCGATCGTCCTCGCGCACGGAGAAAGGGGTGCTTGCAGAGCCCTACGCGGTCAACCCCAGCGAGTACGACCGCGCTGAGCATGAGGACACCGAGGACTCGTTCACCGATGGCCCGCCTGAGAACCACCAGGCCAGCCCGCAGAGCCATGCCCCGACGACTGCGATCGCGGCTAGTGAAAGACAACCCAGGTGAGCAGGACCTGCCGTGGATACCCACACGATGCTCAGTGTGAATAGGATGAGCACGCCACAGAGGTGCTTGACTGAGACGTGCGTGCATGAGCACGACCATCTCGTGCGTTCCGCGAGGAACGCGGTCAGCGAGCACGTCGTCGCCTATACACGCAACTCACACGGCGTCCCGATCTTCAAAGAGACGACATATCGTCGTCCGCGGAACTGACGTCTGACGGCCGCCGATGGTCCGCCACAAACCACCGACAGCCTCGCCTGCTCTGTGCGGTGCTCGCCCCCCGGTCAACAAAGACACGACGTACGAAATTCCGGCGAGCGGGCTCGTCTGTCGTAGCGCAGAGACGACACCTCGTTGATCATTCGCTGCCGTGAAGAACTCGGTCAGCGGGCGCATCGTCATGTATACTCCCTCGCACGTCGTGGACTGCATCCCGACCATCGAAGACACGACACATCGTCGTCTGGCGAACTGACCTCTGGCATTCGCTACCCACCCCGGTCGTTGACCCCGCCTCCTCCGCACGTCTCTCATCTGTCGTTCAACAAATACACGACATATCGAAATCCGGCGAGCGGGGTAATGGCTGTGCGTAGCACGGCATAGGGACGACGTACCGGGTTGGGGAGGGTACCGGGAATGCGGGCGGTAGTTCGAAGCCGACGTTGGAGGGAATGCGCTGGGCGTTGCGAGAGAGGTATTGCACAGGTGAGTGTGGTGCACTGAGTGGCAGGGCAGTACTGATACGTTGGGTTCCTCGGCAGATGCGACACATCGTCCAGTGTCCGTCGAGTACAGCGCCCGCCAGGTGCCAACGAGGCGAGAGTGCATAGCACGGTGCTGCGCTAACAACCGGCGGGCACGGTGCTGCGCTAACAACCGGCGGGCAGTGACGTACGCGGCCTGGACGAGCGAGTTTGGCGAGCCGGTGGGAGGCGGAGGGTGCTCTGAAGAGGTGATGGAGGTGAGTCTGTGCGCGTACAGTTGAAGCTGACGAATACTCACCTGTCGCGTGGCCAGGCGGTCGGCATGGGAGCGCGGCGGCGACGTGGGGAGACACGCCACTGGCGATGTCTCAGCAAGGTGAGTTGCCATACCAGAGCAGAAGACATGTCGTTGACAAGCTCTCGGCTGCCGTGTTATCAACTGGTAAGCGCGGGTGCGGCGAGGCTGGTCCAGGAAGCCAGGACGACGGCAGCAGGCAGATGCTTGCCAAGCACAAGCCTAGTGGCGGCGGACCCGTGACGAACACGATCGGGAGAACGACGCACACGAAGAAGTCGTGTGCGACCGGGACAGGCATGTCAAGCAGGAGGTCACCGGGCCTGAGGCCGCCAAGCACAAGCACGACGGCGACAGCCTCCGGCGAGCAGTTGTAAGCGTACCGAGCACGACAGCGGCAAGCGGTGAGTGGTGAGCACGCGGGAGGTGAGCGCGGGCGGCACGGGGGCGACCACGGCCAATGCGATGCGCACGAGCACGACGAGCACGAGTACGACGAACACTAGCCCTACGAGGGCGAGCACGACTAGCACGGGCGCGACAAGCGCGAATACGACACAGGCAAGTGTGAGCATGACGAGGGCGAACACGATGACGGCAGACAGGCGTCTTGCCCGGCGAACAGGAGCACGACGAACACTGCAAGCAGGGGCCCACCGAGTTTCTAAGGGTAGGGTGGACTACGTTTATGACGTTGATTACGATTATCTTAGGAATGTGGTAGTTGAAGCTGACTTAAGTATGGATTGGCATTCACTTAAGCGTGCTTTAGTAGAACTTAGCCATGAGTCAACAGTAGTCTAATTGTGGATTAGGATTAGTGTAAGTACAGATTAGTGTGTGCTTTAGTATGACTTATCCATGGATTAACAGTAGTCTAAGTAGGGATTAGGATTATTCCAAGTACAGATGAGCAGTAGCATAAGATTGGATAAGCATTGAGTCAAGTATGGATTAGCAGTTGGATAAGTATGGATTAGCAGTAGTGTAGCATTAGCAGTAGCATAAGACTGGATTGGCAGTATAATAAGTATGGGTTAGCAGTGGCATAAGTATGGATTAGCAGTAGTGTAAATGTGGATTAGTGTTAGCATAAGAACAGATTAGCTGTATTAGCAGTAGCTTAAGAAATGGATTAGTGACATTGGCTGTCTCTAAAAGCATGTGATGTGCTGCTTGTCTGGCCCTCTGTGCTGTAAGTAAGACAGATTAGTGAGGATAAGTGTGACTAATCCATACAAGTTGATCTGTCCTAATCCTTAATCTAATCTGAGGATTAGATTAAGGGCCATTCATTAATGTACCCAGGTTAAGCTAAGAAGCATTCAATAATGAATGATAGTTAATCCCATTTAAATGACATCACTGCATTGGATCGGGGACTTCTGCAGTTGTATCTCGCACACGCGAGGTCCACTCATCATGCATGCGGCGAGTACTCAAAGCAGGATGGCTCGACATATCTGAGTCGAGGCTAGACTTGAAGGTTGTTGATGCAGGCTTGGCAGTCGACAACAAAGGAGTCAGTACTTCCGATGATCCGAAAGTACTGTGCTTCTTTGGTTCCTCAATCGTTGGCCTGACGGGCTTGGTTGTCGAGGCGTCATGTACACTCAAGGTTGGCCCCTCGTGTGTACAGCAGGCAACGGTCTGGTCGTTGGCACGTCATGCGGGGGTGTTCTACCGCTTGTATGACCATGAGATTGTGGGCTTGTAATTGGTCCGCGCCTCACGTCATCCCGATGAGTTGACTGGGTCGCCGAATCTGGTGACAGGCCTGTCAAACCCTAAGAGGCCAGTACATCCTGTGAGATGGATGTACTGGGCTTTGTCAAGTGTTTGCACTCACACTGATTGACTATATCTGACCTACGTGGGGTCAGAGTAGCCGCGGGAATCAATACCAGGAAATCACATGGTTCCCGTACCCCGGAAGTATCACCAATCGTGGGTACAATGAACTCGTTGTTCCTTGTACCATTCGCAGGTGCGGGTACTGGGCATGTAAGCATCAATACAGGTTGCAGATTGGGTATCACGGTAGAGCTATGAAGCTGTCCGGATACGCCATCATGCAAGACGGAGATGGCGGTAGCGCATATGTCAAGTGATGGACTCGGCGTATCCGCTGCGCACAATGGAATAGTGATAGATCGAGACACAATGGAATAGTGATAGATCGAGACATAGGAGACATACGGATCGTGCTCAGTTGCACATCAAACACGTCGTGCGTCGTGACACCACTGACCTCGCCAGTCAGTCCATCGTGTTGTACGTTCAGCACCTCGCAAGGTTCGCTGACAGTGGGCACAACAATCTCACTGATTGTTGTACCGACTGCAGGTGTCGGGGCCCCCGGCCCGTAAGGATGGACACGGGTAGCACCGCGGGTGCGCAGGGCGTATACCGCACCCATGACCCCCGTACCCGTACCCATGTACGGTGCTACCCGCACCCGACCGAGTTCACCGCCAGTGTTGGCGGTGAACCGCGGGTTGGCTCACCGTGGGTACACCGGGGGCGGGTTCCGCCCACCGGCACCCCGCTCGTACCCTGGTTGTCGGTTGCCCGCCTGCTTGCCCTGCTGTCTGAATGCCCGCGCCCAGTCGCCCTGCGCGCGTTCGTCGGCCCGTGCTTGTGTGCTGGGCATTCGCCCGGTTCACTCGCGGTCGTCGTGCGTGTGGTGCTGGGTCATGCCCCAGGCCCGTGCCCGTCCTCTCGCCCTCTCGCCCTCTCGCCCGTCCGCTCGCGCACCCACCCGTCTTCCTGCTCACCTGCTCGTCCACTCACGCACCTGCTCGCCCGCCCGTCTGCCCTTTTTCGACTTCGCTTGTCTGCTTGCCCAGTGCCCGCTCACCCGCCTGCTCGTTCGCATGTGCATGTGTTCGTCGGCCGCATCTGCGAGCTGGGTATTTGCCCAACGCACTCGCGGTCGGCGTGTGCTGCCACCCGCCCGCCGTCCTCTTGTCTGCCTGCCACGCGTTCGTTGGCCATGCCTGCACACTGGCACTGGTCTGGGCCCTGTGCCCATCCACTTGACCTCTCGCCCGCTTGCCCGCTCGTCCGTCCATCCACCCACTCATCCATCCACCCACCAGCTCGTCCGTCCATGCGTCGACTCACCCGCCGTCTTGCACTCGTCCTCGCCTGTCTGATCCTCATGCGTACCGTCCGTTTGTCGGTCGCATTTGCGTGCTCGGCATTCGCCCTGCACACTCGCGGTTGCCATACGTCGTCGCCCGCTTGTGCGTCTGGCAGCACGGTCGCCCGTCCGCCGCCCGTCTGTTCGTCGTCGGCGTGTGCTGTCCGCTGGGCTGTCGTCTGCCAGCCTGCCCGCCCACCTACTCACTCTCCCACTCCTTGACCACCCGCCCGCTTTGTGCGCGCCCGTCGCTCGTATCGTCGCTCGCCAGCGCGCTTGTGCTCGCCCGCCTGCTCGCCTCCCCCCTCTCATGCACTTACCTGCCCGCCTGCTTGTCCAGCAGCCCGTCCACCTGCTCTCCTACCCGCCCCCTTGCTCCCCGCCCCTTGCCCATCCTGCATTTGTCGGCCGTGTCTGCGTGCTGAGCATTAGCCCAACGTGCTCGCGGTCGTCGTATGTCATCGTGCTCACTCACCTGCCCGTCCGCTCTCCTGCCCACCCGACCACCCACCTGTCCGACCACCCGTCCGCTCGACCGTGCACCCGCCATTCGTCCGTCAGCCGTGCCTGCGCGCAGGGCATTGGCCCTGTGTGCTCGCGGTCGTCGCACTGCACGTCGCCGTGTTCTGTGTCTACGTTAGTGGGCTTGTTCGCCTGCGTCTGCACTCACCGGTGGACTCTCGCCCTCGCCTGCCCTCGCCCGCCACACCCTTCCCTGTCATCTGTTGGTCGTCTTCTGCGTCCGACATCCGCTCGTCGCCCGTGCTTGCCGTCCGCTTGTCATATGCGCTTGCTGTCCGCTCGTTGTACGCGCCCGCCGTGTGCTCGTCACCCGCGCACGCCGTATGCTTGTTGCTCGTTGCCGCTGGGCCCGCGCATACGGTGTGTTCGTGGGCTGCGCTTGCACACGCGGCTTTTGCCGTGCGTGCTCGCCGTCCGCGTGCGCGCCGTGCTTGAGATTGCTTCGCCTGGGGCTGTGGGCGAGTCGAGCACTCACCTGGCCGGTCCTGGCAAGAGGATAGGGAGAGAATATGGGGTGGCAGATGCCCCGCGAGCGACTCCCTCGGGCAAGTTTGGGCGCTCGCGGGGTTGCCTCTTTTGGCAATACTGCCACGGGTGCGACACCACACAACACTGCAACACCGGGAGGCGGGGAGGCGGGTACACGGGATCGCACACCGCACCCGTACCCGGGGACACCTCGGGTATGTTACCACGGGTGTACCCGATACCTGTGTCCATCCTTAGCGGTAGTCGTGTGGCGATGATTGCGCACCGAACCCGCACCGGGGATGCCTCCGGTATGTTAACGTGGGTGTACCCACTACCCATGTACTTCCTTAAGCCGCTCACAGCTGAGCTTGTGGTGAAGTCGATACAGGGCGCACAGCAATATCACAGCGCCCAGCGTTCATCTTCTGGCCGTCCGTGCAAACAGATCTGTGGGAAATCAAGTTGTCGAGGTGGAAGGGTGGTGGCGGGGTGTGGGGTGTGGGCACGTCAAGTGAGAATAGGTGGAGTGAGAACGGAGGCGTGTTGAGCGAAGACGGAGGCGTGTTGGATGAGGGCAGTCGTGTCAAGCGTGGATGCCGACTCCGAGTCACAGAAGGAAGATGGTAATTGACAACCTGGTGTACTCATAAAATACATACTTGAACGTGTCAGAATCAATCTTTACAGAAGTGCGACCACCTAGCAACCTTGCAGAGAAGGTGCTCAACCATAATCTCGTCGAAGCCAATACTCTGCTTTGTATCGTCGGGGAGAGTACTGTCAAGGTAATTGTACGCAGTCTTGAAAGCCGCTATAGTGGCTGCTTTCGTGACTTTTCCTGCTGGCAGGATTTGAAGAAAAGTAAGACCGCCGAGCGCACCTGACTTAATGTTCCATACGGCACTCCCCATCTCCTCGGCTGTTGGACGTTCAACGATGCCTGAATAGACAAAGTCTGAGGCAAGCAATGTAGCTGCGAGGGCACCAATGCCCGGAAGACACTTCCTCTTTGAGTCTTTATTGCGAAGTTGCAAAGCCTTCAACACGTCCATGTACTTCACCGGCTCCTTGCACAGAAGCTTCTTGGTGTAGAAAGCCTCTTCCGCAAAGTACGCTGCAGTGTTCTCGGTCTTACGGTCACGGCTGTAAGCGCCATATCCCGCAGGGTTGCAAACGTAGTATGGCTCGTCTGCATGACCACAGGTAGCAACGATGTGCTGAAAATTTGCATGGGATGGGAAGAGCGAAGGTTGTAGAAGCGAGAACAGACAAGAGAAGGTAATGCCACGGAAGATGAATGCATGCGCTAGCGAGGGCGCCGAGCTTGTGAATGTTGAACGGGTGGAAAGGTCCTGCATCCGACATCATCATCTTCCGGCCCGCAGCGAGCTCACGGAAGGGTACACGATGGTCCTCATCCTCCATGCACCACTTCTGAAGTGCAGAGAGTGGCTCGGGGAGGGGGATAGACTTGTTGATAAGGTGAGGGACATAAGCGAGGCATTCCATGACGAAGTCACGAAGGCGTAGAAGCCCAAGTTTGCACAGATCCTCGACGTCGACAGGGTTGGTCCGGATAGGAGTGCCTGAGCGTATACCAGCCAGTAGTCGACAGAAAAGACGGAATTGTTGGTACTCTGGCACTTCAGGATTTGAGAGGACAGGGAGTGAAGCCAGATCCGAGCGCAAGCCTGCAATGGAGTTATCGTTGATACGTTCTGTGCGTCGCAGTGCCGCAGGAAGAAGGGAAGGACGTGGAGAGCACCAGACTGCCCAGACACCATCAAGCAAAAGGACGTCATTCGTGTGAAAAGCCGTGACAAGCGTGCTCACAAAGAGAGCACGCAGGAAAGAAGTCAGTTTAGGGAATTCAAGCCAGGTGCGCACAATGCCGTGAATGATCTCTACCACAGCGTCAATACGCTCATCCTTGCGGACGGTCTTCTTTGGCAAAGTCACACTCATTGCAGGGAGCTCCGGGAGGAAGGTTGAGCGACAGAGCATTTCACCCTTGCGCCGCCCAAAGGAGTCGTAGACTTTGACCGCCAGTTTAGCAAGCCAAGTCGTAGGAGGTTGTGACTTGCTGTGCTGGCGTGCAGTCAAGAGTTCCCTGCAGTGATTATGCATGACCGTGTTCAGCCATAGCCAGGAGTAGGACTCTGCCAGCATGGCTTCACACCGGAGCTCGGCGTGTTTGTGACGCTGAAACTGATCCCACTTTTGGAAGCCGTCAATGATGGGCCAGCTCTGTATATACACAAATTAGAACATACACAGTAGAACAATATGAGACTCACCTGCTTGAGCATGACCGCATATTCAGATGAGCAAGCCTGCGTAGAACTTGGGACCTCAAATGCTTGCATGAGAGAGCGCAGATGTTCTGCGTTCTGTGCAGTATAACGCTGTGTCATGTCTGGCAGAGAGTCGGACAAGCCCTGTAGAGTCCGGACGGATGCGGAGATGTTGTCCAAGCCAAAGAGGGCAAGGACACCTTGATGGCCTGCCAAACGCTTTAGCATAGGACTGTACACAAGTCATAGTACATACTTTTTTCGGAAGATTCATCATCCGAAACTAATGCCTCCACTTCCGGATCTCCATCTTCTGTAAAGTACGGTTGAGATCAAAGCGAGATACACAATGTTGTAGACATACCTTCATTGGAGTCATTGAGTTGTACGGGGGCTGCAGCACCGCCGCTATAGGGACGGAAGACTGTTGCATGTCATCATCAACGTCGGAGTCATCGTCTGCTGCTACAATGCCAAACATGAGCCAACTACTACTACTATTCAGAATACCCTACTACGTACGACCAGCAGCACCCTTGATACGAGAGCTGCAGCGCAAGTTCCCTTCCTCACCACTGCCATGCTGGGAAGGTCCAGCAACCGCGTTTACACCATGCACAGTTGGGTGTGGATGTGCTGCCAAGTCAGGCATGACTTGACGTAGAAATTAGTTGAACATGAAAAATAAAATAAAAAAACAAAAAATGCGGACCTGGTTCATCCGCGCCAGAGTCCAAACAAGCTGAGAGACAAATATGAGAATGGGTAGTAGAACACATTATTCATCAGACACTTACCTCGCTGAGAAGGTCTATCATTGTCAGTGCTCTTCGCATCCTTACGTTTCTTGGACTTTGACTTTGGTGCCATGTGTTCACCGCTATCAGCCCCAAACTTCTCTGTGGCATATGTCAGCACAAATACATGAAAAATCAACACACAACCTACTCTTGCTCTTGCCAACACCTAACATTGAACAAGTTAGCAATGTTTGAGATAGTGTATACGTCCAACTTACGTCCAACTTGTAGGTCAACTTGTTCATCTTCTTCACCTTGTAACACATTGCGGATGTCGACAACGTCTGGCCTGTAAGTAGCGGATGGAATGGTATTGGCAAACCTTTCCCTGTGGGCATTCCACTGCTGGATCTCGTGGCGGAGCTTGGAGTTGGGATGCTCACGATCGGGGACGGGGAGGTAGTCCAAGATATCTTGATCGGTGTATGAGACTTGATTCCCTGGGATGACGTGAGTGACCGCTCACAAAGAAACAAAGTGCACATTACCTTCAGCATCCTCAGACGTGAAAGCTTCAAAGAACTTATGGATGTCAATCTGCGCAGTTGGGCCGGTATGTTTCCATAGCTTCTGGACCATCAAGTACAGGCCAACAACAGCCGCCGTAGATGCCGAGCGCTCGTCCGCAAGAGAACGCGCATCCAACTGGAGGTTGCATGGCTGGGAGCTCAGAGTGGCTTGATCGTCAAAGCTTGGATTATGTTAGCACAAAAGTAGCTAAGTTAGATAAACACATACTCAGGATTGTACGCCTCCGGAGGTATGATGATGGGGTCTCGCTCTCCTAGCGCTCCAAGAGGAACACGCGCCTTACCATCCAGAATCCCAGACATGTGATACATGATATGGTTCAGTCGCAGGCAGCGACCGATAGGCGTCTCAGGGTTGCGGACAAATGGAGGTGTACCACCGTGCTTACGCAGTCCGGAGAATAGGACGGTAAGGATGCGTGAATTGTACTGGTTCTCCCTGTGAGGCATGGACGAGAATGCACCGAGCTCATAGTGCATGAAATAGCCATGCTCGATGTCCTCGTCCAGCTGGGAGAAAATGGTCATGGTAGAGTACGCGCCCACACAGTCATTGGGGTCGCGATGCAAGCCACCGAACTGGCCAAGAGATTCCGAGAGGTCATTCTTGCCTGCACAAGACCATATAAGCAAGAGGAACACAAACTGACAGACACGTACCTTCACGGATCTGATGCAAGTGCTGAGGTGCGGAGACATTTAGCTGGCTGCTAGAGAAGCAGACGTTGTCCAGGTCCCCCATACAGAAGGACCCATGCATGCGCTGGACATCGTGCAGCATCTTGTATGTCTCTGGGACTACCATCTTCATTACGTGCACACCATTCTTTGCGCCAATCTACGCATACGTCTATAAGTGCATCAAGCTGCAAGAGATTGGCAAGACTTGCCTTGTTTAGCTCACGGCGTATGGACAGATCCTCTGGTTCCTCCACTTCATCCTCCGTGAACCGCTTTGCACCAATGCTGGGGCCAATCAGATTGCGAGAGCGCTGGTGGGACTGGCCGATGTTGTACACACGAGCGGCGGGCTTCTCTTTGCCAATTTCTGGAATACCCTCACGCTCACGGAAGAGACGCTCAACATCAGCGCCGTTGACCCACCGCTTCTTGACCCTATCATACTCGGGTGCAGCCAGCAAGTCATCCACGTCCGATACTCCACTGACAATCCTACTGCCGAGACTATTGTAGGTCTCGACAGCACTAGGGGCCATGTCTCTGCAGCGCAATCAGCAAAGAATAGCTGACATAAGCCGTACTCACTGCTCTGCAATAACTGTCACTGCCAAAACATTGTGCTCATGGCCTAAGTTAGGGACCAATTCCCCGTCAACCCAGACCCGTGCAGGCCGCACGTGCAGATAGTCACGCGCGCCTATGTACAGCCAGTCTACGAGATTGTGAGCGCTTACTACACATTTTATTTATATTGCTTACCTTCGTCAGTTGCATCCCGTGGGGTCTCACCGGGGACAGGCCAGTGAGCTTCTTGCTGAGCCCAGGCCATGGCTGCTTGCTGGCAAGTATCCATGATCTGTACATAGCTATTGTTCACGGTCAGTCCCCTACCAACGAGGGAGGGGTGCGGCTCATGCAGCCGGAACGTCGGTGGCATCTCCTCAAGGCGCCTAGGCGCATCCACAAGCGTGCCTTCAATACTCTCCAGGACTGATGCAGGAATACCAAACTGATAATGTTTGGAGAACCTACAATGCATTAGAACATCATGTATGATGGAGCAGTACGATTTACCATAGATATTCCTCGTCCTCTAGTCTCATTTCTCCCGGGAGACCCGGTGGGACAGCCGGTTCATCAAGATCCATATTCCGTCGGCTAACAGAATGAACAACCGTGTGTAAGTGCTTTAGGAACTGGATGGATGGTATTACAACGTACTCACCACCGATTTCAGGGGCTCTTGAGGTTGGATGGCACTAGATGTAAGTTGTACGAGCGGAGAGATGGCGGATGAGATGAGAGGAGGACGAAAACATGCTTGGTCTGGTGTAACTAGCTCAGCCACTTGCCACGCGAGGTTCACTCGTCCGCAGGTCTAATTTTTGACCTGCGGACGAGTGATCTTGCGGTGTAGTCTCCCAGACTCCACCGCAAAACACCGTTTAAGGCAATTAGTGTTGAGCAGACTAGGTCACATGTAGTGGACCACGCTCTAACTTACCTGCTTGAAGGTGTTGCTGTTAAGCTTGAGGCACACAAGTAGTTCCGGTGTTGGAAGTACTCGAGAGAGAGCTACGCTACTGGTGGGTCTTATATACATCTGAGAGACGCTGACTAATACTACTGTATAGTCCATTCCCACGCATGACTTGCTCTATGCGGTAAGTGCGGATCTAGCACGTGCAGTGCGATCCGGCCCGTGGAACCCGGCGGCCCGGTGGGCGCCTATACGGTTCAACACTCCCCCTTGCTAAGTACGTCCCTGACATACGAAGCATATCCTGGCGCCATGGGCTGCCGTCCGTGGTTGCTCTAGGACTCTTCATCGTAGAATCGAAGTCCGAGCATGCCCCTGAACTTTTGGAACTTGACGCGGCCCAAGTTCTTGGTGAAGAGGTCTGCCGGATTGTCATCAGTGCCAATGAAGAAGACTTCGACCTGTCGTTCTTCAATTAGCTCCCTGATATAATGATAGCGTATGTCGATGTGTTTCGACCGCCTCTCAGTTACAGGGTTGGAGCCGATGAATATCGCTCCTTGATTATCCGAGCAGATGGGTAGTGGGCCAAGTGGATATCCAATCTCCGTGAGGAGCATTTTAATCCATACGACTTGGCGGCTGCAGTCGCTAAGCGACATGTATTCAGCCTCAGTTGAAGACAGTGCTACCGTCTTTTGCCGTCGAGACAGCCAACTGAACACTCCACCAGCTAACTTCATAAAGTAGCCACTCTGAGACCTCCGCATCTCCGGGTCGTTAGCCCAGTCGGAGTCTGTGCACGCCGAGACACCTTGTCCAGTTTTGCCGCTGTATACAAGCGCATAGGACTTGGTTCCAATTAGATAGCGGCAGATATACAGTGCTTTATCCAAGTGGTCCTGTGACGGGTTCGCAGCATGTTGCGCGAGTTTTGTCACGGCGAAACAGATGTCAGGGCGAGTTCCAAGCATGATATATAGCAAGGAGCCAATGACAGTCTGATACCGACTTCGAAGTGTAGGGTCAACCGTGCCGGTGTAAGGCTCAGGTTTGTAGCCCGCAGGGAGTGGAGTAGGCGCAGATTTAGCATTCTGCATGCCACAGCGCTCAAGCACCTTCTCAAGGTAGGCAGTTTGGTCGAGATGAATCTCGTCGCCTTTCCGAGTAATGCTCATTCGCAGGAACTCCTTGACGTCGCCAAGGTCGCGACACTCCCACTTCTTCATGAAGCGGTTCTTTAGAGCGGCCACTAGGGCCTTGTCTTTTCCGCAGAAAAGGGCATCATCCACATAGACGATGATGAGGACGAACCTCCCATCTTTTGTCTTGTAGATGAATATTCCGGCATCGGATACAAGGCGTACACAGCCAAGTTCCTTGAGGGACTCATTGAGGGTGCGCCACCACGCAAGCCCCGCCTGTTTAAGTCCATAGAGAGCACGCAGTAGCCGGAGGACTCTGTGCTCTTGGCCTGGGACTTTAAAGCCGTCAGGCTGCTCCATGTAAATCTCCTCGTCGAGTTTACCATAGAGGTACGCATTACGGACATCGAGTCCGGAGATGTGCATGCCCTCGAGCGCAGCTAGCGCGAGTATTAGGCGCACGGTCTCAAAGCGTACGACGGGAGAGAAGACCTGATCATAGTCAAGGCCTTCAATCTGGGAGTAGCCTTTTGCGACTAGTCTAGCCTTTTTACGACCGTCAGTTTTGACGTTGAAGACCCAGCGGTTTTTGGTAATCCTACGTCCCTTAGGACGGTCTACCAACTCATAGACATTGTGTTTGCGTAGAGCCTCTAACTCCTCGCGACACGCTAGTCTCCACTTCTCTTGCTCCTCTTTGGGTAGCTTGAGAATATCGCGGTATGTCCATTCACGTGGATTGGATATTGGAGAATCATGTTCAACAGATGGTATTGCGCATGAAAGCAGCATGTTGACCATTCCTACTCCCCCTTCCCGGCATAGTCGTGCCATGAGTAACTCCTCGACTTCTTTGTCTGAGCCCGAGGCAGATCCAGAAGGTTGGTCTGGCTGTGGTTCTGGCGCGCTAGGTCCGGGAACCTGTTGCTGCGACTCTGATTGAGGGTTAGGGCGGGCGCTACCCAACCCTTCTCCGACAATCTTTTTCCACTGCCCCTTCTTTTCAATCTCTTTGTACTGATCTACGGGATTGCGATTTTCTCCGTAGACGTTCCCTGGGCGAGTTACATGCTTCCGCTGACGACCTGATTTCCGCTGCCCTTGAGGCGCAGGAATTCCCGAAGGTTGTGGCGGCGGAACTGGACTGGGCGCCTTTGGCTGCTCCTGAGCATTGTCACGCTCATCGTCCGTTCCCTTTGGAAGGTGGTAGGGACGAGAGATATCCTCATTGTCTGAATCCTCCTGAGAAGTGGGTTGGTGACCCGCTTTGTGGTCATGTTTTGGCGCGCTTTGCAGCCTAGTATTACCCCGCCGCTTCATGCTGGGGCATTTGGGGAACATGCTCTCGTCGAACAACGCATGTGACGACGTGTAGAGCACATTATTTGGTGCACGCATGAACAAGTCACCGTGACCTCCGGGGGCGACACCGAGGTATGTCATTAACTCTGACTTTCTAGACAGAGTGTTCTTGCGCACGTCCTTGGGGATAAAGACGTATGCGCCGCACCCGAATACTCGTAGGTGCCTAATGGCGGGAGCCTCGCCATTCAACATCTCATATGGTGTCAGCCATTTGAGGCGACGAGATGGTGTCCTATTGTACACATGGACAGCGTGGTTCACCGCAAATTCCCACCAGGATTCAGGTAGACACACTTCAAGGCGCATAGCCTGAGCTTTGTCCATTATCGTCCTGTTGAGTCGCTCAGCTCTGCCATTCTCCTGAGGAGTATGCGGCGAGCTTTGCAAGATCTTGATGCCCTCGTCTTTCAGCATCTTGTCAAACGCATCAGACTTGTATTCTCCCCCAGCATCCGACATCCATCCTTTCACTTTCTTGCCATATTGGGTTTTAACCGTGGCGAGAAATTGGCGCGTAGACGAAATCGCAGCACTTTTGGTGCGCAGATTCACGGTCCAGGTGTGGGACGTGTAGTCGTCATAGTACAGTATGTAGTACCTGTACTTATGGTAGGAGTCAAGCGGAAACGACTTCACATCGCTGTGAATGAGCTCGAAGGGCTCTGTCGCTCGCTTTGTGGATGGTGGGAAAGCCTTGTTGGGCATTTTCCCTTCTGCACATCCAGGGCACACAGGATCCTCCGTAGGGAACTCAACCCTGAGAGGGAAACCATCGGTGTGTTTTTCAGCCTTCCGAAGAACATCCTTTGAGGGATGCCCAAAACGGCGGTGCATAGTTTCATAGTCTACAGTGTAGACCGTATTGTGGATACTTTGCGCATCTTCCCCAGAAGATGCAGCATAAATCCCAAAAATAGAGCCACCTGGGTTCAGCGGTTTGAACACGTATAGTGGATCCCGCGATCCCGGCTCATAGAGGTCGATGTGCTGCGAACCACCGCGCACAGTCATGCCTTCTTTGAGGAATGTCCCCATGGACAACAACCGTTGATGCAGACCTTGGAAATAATAGACGGGGTATAGACGAGTTGTTATCATCTCACCGTCTCCTCCTAAGAAATTGATGAAGACGGTCCCGCGCTTCGTGCAGCGGGCCGTACCATTCGCAGTCTGCACCAGGATGGGTTCGCTGAGATCCTCAACTTCAGCGAAGTCACTCATCCGGTTGGTAAAGTGCATTGAAGCACCAGAGTCCAACATCCAAGTTGGGTCTCCGTCAGGGTAGGCTTCATTGCCACCCTCTAGGACATCCTTAATCTTCATTTTTCCCTTACACTTGGAGCACACTGCAAACTCTCGCGCGTGACGACAGTGTATATATTTGTGTAATGAACTACCGATACATTCATTCATTACACGCGACTTAGATGATACTCTACTACATGCGGCTGTGGGTAGCGCATTGTCAGTAGGTCGCATGGGAATTGAAGATGAGGGTACTGACCTGGCGTCCTCGTCCAGATCAAGCCCGGCGGCCATCGCGATGTCCTTGTCGACGTTCTCGTCGACGTCCTCGTCGTCCAACCCCCAGTTAAGGGGTTCCTGGGTTTCAGCCCAGGTGCCGTCGTCGTACGAGTTGTAACCCGCGTTCACCTCGTCGATCCTCACGGCCATGTCGTCGTCGCCATCGTCGGAGAGACGAGCGCGCTTGGATGCACGCGACTCCGTATCAGAGAGGTAGTCCTCAATCTGCGCGGAGTTGTCGACAATCTGAGTGAGCGTTTTGAGGCGCTCGACCGTAGGAGACACGTCGACCTCTTCGGCCAACTCGAGGGCGCGATGCAGCCATCGCTGGCAGTTGTGCATAGGGCGCTTCTGCACAGGCGCACGCGTTTCGACGGTGCGGACTTTGCTGCCCGAAGGCGCGATGTCCACGACATGGGACGTAGAGGGACCAGCCACAGACGCCTGCGAGGCGATGTGGGCGTGGTCGTGGCCGTTGCTGTGGCCGCCGCCGTCCTTCTGGGCACGGGTCTTCTTGCCGCTGTGTTTACTGCGCTGCTTGCCCTTGCCCTTGTCGGCCTTCTCGCCGCTGCCGCTGCCGCCGTCATGGCGCTGCTGCTGCTGCTGGAAGCTCGGCTCGCCTTGCTTTCGCTTG